AACAAAGGTTGCCACTGCAGCACATGGTACAATAGGATTGTACTCAACATACTCGTCCCACAACCCTTTCACTTCTGTGTAGTATTGAGTGATATACCTCGAGCCCTATTTACAAGCAATAATCTCATCTTCCAGATTAGTGATCCTAAGGGCATTAGGTAACCCAAATCTTCTTTTCAACTCATCCCAGAGGGCCTTAGCGTTACTATGGGTAAGGATTGATCTCCTTATGTCCTTCTGAACAGAGTTTTGAATCCAACATAACACAAGGGTGTTGCAAGCATCCCATATTCCAAACATATTGGAATCTCGTGCTGGCATAGGTATGGATCCATCAATAAATTCGATCTTATGCCTAGTTTTTAGAACAACTTGCATAGATCTACTCCACATACTATAATTAGACCCATCAAACAGCTCAGCAACCACAAAAATGGACATATTCTCGTTTGGGTTGAGATAGTAGGGGTTACCAAACGTAATCGTCTCATTCTGAGCAGTCTCTTGGTTGAATGAGCCAAATTGCAGGTTCACTGGAGTTCCAGTCACATTTGCTCCTGAGCTCCCTGAATCGCGAGTGTTGCCTCCTGGGGTTGTTGGTTCAACAATGGCGGCGCGTTCTGAGAAACCCTAGAGCCTCACAGCTCTTATACCATATGAATTCTGTAGAGTGATTTGTGAAAGAGAAGCTCAAGCTTTCTGCTGAGTTCTCTGTTCGTTTTTATAGCAGCAAAATCAAATTATCAAGCTAGTACAGGTGTCACGATTCTACTGGCCATTAGCAACATAAAACACTGTTTGCTTAACGACTAATAAACAGAAAGCAAAACGTCGTCGCAGCGACTAAATGAAAACAAAACATAACAGAAGAAACATCCTCGGTGATGAAACGTTTCTCCACTTCTTCTTCTTCCTCTGTCAATCCTTGCTGATTCAGGACTAGGGATGGCAATGGGTCGGGTTGGGTCGGGTTTTGCCAAACCCAAACCCATGGGTTTATCCGCGAAAAAAACCCGGGGTAAAACCCATTGGGTTTGAAAAACTCAAACCCAACCCAACCCGCTGGGTATCCGTGGGTTCATGGGTACCCATGGGTTTTTGACGTAAAAAATTTACAATAACAAGTTCCTATCAAAATTAAAGTCAAATATCAATCTCTCAATACAAATTATCCATATATAAAACACCATTTTAGAAAATTCAAGCAAATCAAGAATTAACTATACAAATTGTTCAACACCATTCTAGAAAACTCAATAAATATAAAGCAAATCACAAATTATCCATAAATAACATGATTAATCGAAAGCTTCTTCCTTTCAATTAAGTTTCTTCACTCTCCACTCGATGACATCAACTTCATTCTACACAATTAGAAAGAAAAAATTAGACATGTCTCCAGAAACATAAATAAGATTAGTTGTTTAGAATATTAGATATATCGAGAAAATTAACTATATGGGTGTGGGCGGGTACCCATGGGTCGGGTTTACCTAAACCCAACCCGGTGAATAGTGAACGGGTTTAAACCCAAACCCGGCCCAAAACCCGTCAACACGGATTTTACCCGCGTTGACCGGATTGAATCGGGTGGGTACCCATGGGTTTGGGTTTCGTTGCCATCCCTATTCAGGACTAGCTCTGCTACTCCAATCCAGACTGTTACGAGCAAATTCTGCGTGATTCCGAAGTTTTGGGTTTTTTATTTTGAAATTCAAAATTTATGTCCTGAGCGGGATGATTTGGAGCGGAAGAATTTCACAATAGTTTCGCACGCCTACTTAATCTGGTGATTTCAATTGAGCCGGGAAAGGAAAACAAAGCTGAGCTTAGAGAAACAGAAATAGCAGAGAGACTGAGAGCGAGAGTGGGAGGAAAGGAAAGAGAGGAAGGAAAGCTACTCATCGGAGTCTGATCATGGCCGGGAATCCATGTCCCTTACCGACGAACCGTCTACTCCTGGCATTCAAGGCTTCCCAGGCTCAGGTTTCCAAGATGGAAGCCCTGGTTGAGGCATCGAAGAAGTGGAGGACGCAGCTGAGGAGCAGCCGGAGGCTCCTGGACGAACTGGAAGCAGCGCTTGCTAATAGCCCCGTGATTGCCGTCAACTCGATGGATGAACTGACTACTTTGATTGAGCTGCTGCCGAAATATCCCAAGTTCTGCGGGAAGATCATGGTGTACAGGCACAACCTTACCGCTGAAGAGCAAGCAAGGGTTACGAATCGAGCTCTCAGGGCAGGCATTCCAGTGTGCCCTCCTGGCAACACTTTGGAGAGGTTGGGTGTTTGAGGATTGGATCGATGTAGTAGTTTCGTTTCTTAGGTGTTGTTCGTTTTCCACTTCGTCTCTTATCACAACACCTGTATCATCTATCCTTCTTTAGCATTGTTTTCAATTTGTCCGTTTGTTTGAAATCAGTTTGTGGTGGATATTGAATCAGCTAGAAATCATTATTCTCTACTGTTTGTTTGCTTCTCACGGGCGTCCTTGTGCTTTGCTTTTTCTGAGAACTCCGGTGGTTAAACCGTGTTTCGTAGTTAATTTCGGTTCAGCAATCACTTCAACATCAAGGGCGATAGAATCTAGGCTTCAACATTTCCTTAGTAATTATTCTCTACTGTTTGAAGTGATTGCTGAACTTCACGCACACGCTAGTGGCGTTATTGCAGCCTTCCCCGCCTTGGTCCGGGATCGGGATGGTTGGTTATTGCCTGCAAACTCACGTATTACAAGCACTGCCACTCTCACTCCTTCCATCCACTTGCTCTCGTGTTCCGTCGTCTCCAACCCTCAGCCCATCGACTTCAATGGTCTGCAGAAGTTGTACCTGTGCCTGAAGCTGTTTGAACAGGGCATCGGATGCAAAAATGGTGGTCACCAGAGCTGCAGCACTAACCCAGGAAACTCCCAGCTGCTGTTCTCATCCTTGTTTCTTCCCTAGTAGCTGCTGGTTAGCCCCCTACTTGCTGTTTGTTTGGACGGATTCATTCCTGATGGTGTTGCTTTTGTAAGTTTGTGCAAAGGCCTTTTGTGGAATCAGCTAGTCTTGGCCCCTTTCGCTTCTCATGTATGATACAGTTGTAGTGCATGATGTTCAATTGATGAGGCTGCTCCCTATTTTCTGTTAAATGTAAGATAGAGCTAAGAAGAGCTGCCAACTTTATAAAGTGAGTTGAAAGAGCAGTGAAAGCTTTGCCCAGAGCTTTGAAATGAGATATTTTGTAGATGCAACTTTTTTCCCGATTGTCCTGCTCTAAGCTTTATGCAGTGAGCTTCTTTGGCCAGTTACTCTCTGCCTTGCAGTTGCAGGGTGGGAATGCTGTTGGTTTAGTATTTATTTAATCCAGATGAGCACAACATATTGTTAGATAATTTGTATCTGCAGATCATAGAGAAGCTGGTTGATTGTCACCTAGTGGCTAGTTGCACCAAGGTGGATGTTTAGTTGGATGTCATACATTTTGGATCATGCGACTTACGATGCGAGGCCAGTTGATATATCTGTGTCCTTTCGTTAGTTATATTTGCTTGTTTGGTTGACATTTGTAGGGTTAGCTGTTGCTAGCTTCTTGTCAAGCAAAGTGTGTTATTTGAATAGGTCAAGAGAGTTAGAGTTGTTAGCAGAAATTCAGGAGCGGTGTGAGTGGGTAGTCATGGAAGTTGAGATTGAAGGTTTCTGTAACACTCCTGCCCGAACGATGAGTCAGTCTCGACTAAGAATGCAGTAGTGGAAGGATATGCTTTGAATGCATGTATTGAATGTCACATCTCAAAGACCTTTATTTCAAAATCTGCAGGTTTAGGAGGTCTGTTAAGTTCCTCTCAGGATGATAACTTATGACAGAGCATATGTTTCGCTTTTGTTTGGATCATGAAAGCAAGTGTGCGTCCATTCATAGAACATTTACAAAGCACACAGTACAAGGCTCTGAGAATTTTGTTTAATGTTTTTTTTCCCCAGATAAATAAAGATCTTGCTTCCTTGGATGTTATTCTCACTCTTCATTGTCATATTTGTTTTCATTACTGGTAACTATTAGCCTTTGTATGCATGACTCCACTCAAATGCTCCTATGCTAACTAAAATGGCGAAGCGGCTGAGTGTACTTCAAGACAGTTGTTGCACTTCCAAATCAGTGGGAGGACCATCCCGGTCTTCAGAAAATAGGGGCTGCAGTTCGGTCACTGTTGGGTATTCCTGTGGAAACACCCTTGGGCAAGGTAGCAGTCTATCAATGCTATGCCTCGTGTAAACATGAACATGGATAAAAACAACCCTTAGTGAGATGCATTTCTAATTAGTTGTATTCGTCATGTGCAGGCTCTTTTAGGATGCCAATTACTTCACCGTATGGCCATTGCATTGGAGGAGAATGGATCAAAACTCTCTCTGTCTGGTACCCATCTTGTTTGAAGATTGTGAAAGTCTCTGTTCTAATAAGCTGTAAATTACTTGTGATTTAAGTTATCATATTTCTTCTGGAATGCAGATGAATTTGAACTTCTGGTTGCTTTGGCACGATTGTTGCAGAAGATGGAAGTTGACTCATGGTCTATGTTGCTTGATAAGGTGCAGGAGCAGTATGATACTAATGCTGCTAAGGTAAAGAACAGCTGGTTCTCTTTTATATTTGTTTTTGGTCGCAGATGTTGAGCTCCCGCCGAATTTGATTCTCATTTTCACATCTTCAAATTCTGTCTGCAGTTGTGGTTCGCCCGGTCTTCAATTTTCCATCAGAGTCGCGCTGGTGAAGTTGCTATATATGAGCAAACAATAAGAGAAAGGTAGGGCTCATTTGAGTTTCCTAGACTTCAGTCATGTAGGGAACTCAGAAAATGAAGTGTTTCGACCAACATTAATATATACATTGCTGTGTCGAGAAGTTTGTCCAAACTCTGAGCCTTGGAGAACTCCAAAAAGCGCCTCCAGTTACTATTGGCTTTCTATGGCCAAATTAGTGTTGGGATGTGTCTAGAAGTGGAGAGTTATGCCAGGTAGTTAGGCATGTCTTTTCTTTCGTTCCTTTGCCTTCTCATTCAAGACTTGTAATCGTTCTCTAGCTTCATCTACACATATTCAGGCCTGTCACTGACCAGTTCTTTGATGATATGAACTCTGTTTCAGAAAAATGAAGAGGTATCCTGCCATCTTCATCCGATCCATGCAAGCATCGGCGACCCCTGCACTCAACAAAGCCTTGACAATTTTACTATGGCCAGCATCAGAAGCTAGGTGAAGTGGGGTGTGGTTGGATGAGTCAACCTCTATATAAGTATAGGTGTCCAGCTAGGACCAATATGTGTAAACGGGTTTACGTGAAGGAAGAAATTGGAAATTTCTTCAGAATCAAGTTATATCCTTGAGTAAAGCTTAGCAGGGTTTCTCTACTGCCTCTTATTGCTTCATCATAGAGAGGTGATACATCAACTTATGCTAGGTTAATCCCCGTTACTCCAAGTGGTAGCTCTCCACCTCTACAGAACATCAGCTTATATAATGCCATCTTGAGACCTGGCAGGTATTTTCTTTTCCACAGATTTGCAAGTGTGAGTCTTCCAGAAAAAACATATAATTGTCACCTTCTTGGAGCAACCCACTTAAACAAAATTTGATCATTGAATAGGAGATAAAACCACCAAAGTACTATCGAAGAGCACTGAGATACAGATTTAGACTTGTATGATTCTGCTGTTCCAGATGTTTTTTCAGCCACCCAAGGGGATTTGGGTGGCATCACTCTGCTGCTGACAAGGAATCTTTTTTGCTTGCGTCAGCTTGTTGGAGGCCACTAAAATTCTTTTCCTTTTTGAGCTGCCTATTATTTCTCTTTCTAACTTATACCTGCTAACCAAGTTCAAGGGATTTCGTACATTGCAAGCCACTATCACAAAGAGAATACCATTGTCAATGAACAAGTTCGTGGATCTGTTGAGTACCTAAGCAACTTGCTAGGCACTGTAGATGGTTCCTTGCTATCTCTTACCTCCACTAGAGATATCTGTTTGATCTGGACTGTTTGTGTGCTCTGGTTTAATGCTATTTGGCCCGGACGCTACACAGTAAAAATTGGTTTGATGAAGACTGATGGGAACAGATCCGATCTTAAAATTCTGCTGTTGACTTGCACAAGTCTTAAGGAAGACAGTGCAGGTCCACCTGAACCAGACCCTGATGTTACTTACTGCTACAGGTTACTATATTACCTCTGCAGGCCAATCCCAAATGCTGCAGCTTATGGTCTCATTCAGTGCAGAGCCTATGTTTCCAAAGAAGACTGTCAAACTTGTGCACAGAAAGTAGTCTTGGAGGTCATCGATTGTGTCCCCAGTACGAAAGCCACATCGGAGGAGGTAGTGGCACTGAGGTGGCGCCACTGTGTCCGAAACCGAGAGCCTCCACCGATAGTTGCAGCCTTCCAGGAGGTGCTGGCACTGTTTGAGCTGCGGTGTTTTTAGGTTAGTGATGATGTGCCTTTGTAATAAGGAAATGAGTAGTGTACTGTTAGCATTGATATAGTGTCTTCTTGGTAATGATGCGATGCATTGGTTGTAATAATACGGTTTCTTGCACACATTGGGCGGTTGATGAAATTGCAGAATTAGTCGCCAGAATTTGATTAAATTGTGCGAAAATTGATTGGCCATAATGTTTTATGTAAAATGGTTATGTTCACGAGTATAAGACGATGACATGTGGGGATAGATTGTAGAGCAGAGGAAAGTCAGAATCTCTAACACAGACGGAAGTCTGGAAACAATGATGCATTCTACGGAATAGTTCAGAACGTCCAAACAACCCCCTTCATTCTATGACCTGATTCAGTCCTATAAATGTTACAAATCACAGCTTGTCTAAACTGAAGTACAGGGCCAGCTGTATAGGATAAGTTAACTCACTCATGAACATGTAAAACACAAACCAAAACCAAGCCATGGAATAGCAGTAAATTAACTAACGGGGATAACAAGCTCAACGGTTGAGGGCAGTCTAGATTTCAACATCTGAATGCACGCGACTGCAACTTCAGCTTGCACTCTCGGGGCGTTAAATATGCGTCCAGTACTAGTGCATGTGCGACTATCGAGAATCAATTTCTCAAGCGTCACAAAGTTCCGCAGCGCATAGTCCAGGAACCAACGCCCTGTATAGGTAGCTGCGCTACCAGCAAACCCACTAACCTCCACCACTTTGATGCTCTCCCTGTGCATCTCCTCCATCTCACTCCCACCCCAAATGCGGCAGGAGCTATCCTTTTCTTCGTCGGTGTCCATCTGCATTACATACAGTTACCAGGTTTGACATTACATTTTCAACTTCTTGCAACATCATAACCAGCGCATTTGAAAATGTGTACTAGAAGAAAGAGTAAAACTGAAGAACCAAACTTATCAGAACATGAGATAAACTAGCAAGTTCAAACTTCATAATTGATTGATGATGAATTGAGGTAAAATGAGATAGCATACCCGAACCGACAGTTGGTACAATGAAGGACAAGCATTTATCACGGGGAGCAGACCACGAATCTCGTTCCTATCAGAACCGAGCACATAAACAGTCAGCTGCTTAAGGGACGTCAACTCCTCAATCGACCTGGGAAACTTGGCTTTACGCTGCACCAATAGAAAGACTTCATTCAGATCACATCATAGTAATTATGTATAAGAGGGGGTTCAGTCATATTATGATGATTATTTACTTACCGCGTCAAACATAAAAGTGAGGGTCTCCAGCCGTGCAAACTTTGCTCGAGGAAGGAAAACAGGACCTGGATCAATCATGTTGTACAAGTCCAATCCGGTAAGCGACGATATATTTTCCATTCGAAGATCAATGCCATCTGGAAACCGACCATCCAACTTGAAGTAGGTGAGATTAGGCGCATCGATTTCAATCTCCTTTAGATTCTTACAATGGACTACTTCCAAGTGCTTCAACGGCAGTGGTGACGACAAGCCAGCAGCAACTTCAAACCTTACTAAACCATGGGAATGTTGGACGGCTAACTTCTCCAGTAGAGGACAATTGCAAAGGAAATGCTCAAGGATCTCATCGCTCACATCAACGAAAGCCAAACACAAGGACTGAAGGTACCGAATATCCGATAAACCCTCAGGGGTTTTCATATGTTTGAAACAGCGTTCCGAGAAAATATAGCACCCTGAAGCATCCCAACTGGTATCACCATACCGGTCAAAGTCCAGCTTGAGCTTCTGAACTCTTTTTGAGATTGCAAAGTCCAACCACCTATCGATGTCACCATTGGCATTGGATTCATTATGAATGTTGAAACAGGCGTGAAAGTTGTTCACTTTCCGACCCTGGTAGTGTGTCAAGACCCTATTAACCCATTCAATGTACCTCCACCTTTCGAAAAGCACGGGCTCCATATCCCCTGAATTCCAATAATTTTCCCAGATGCACTGCCTCATCTTTGGAACGTCGAAGTCCAAGTTTGGAACAAATTTCCACAAATCAACCCAAGTCACGGAGAGGATTGATGTCCTAGCTGCTTCTTTTAAGGTCAGGCGGGACAAAATCTCCACAAGAAGCGCATGGGGCAATGTGCTTATATGATCCATGGAAATAGCTTCCTCTTTAACCTATATGCACAGTAGAAATAGACAGCCAATGAGCGCAGGAAACCTCAACAAAGCTTTTGATTTACATAATAAGCAAACGGGACGGTAATTATCATGATGGAAAACAGAAGCAGCAGATCCATACCTTCTCCGAGCTACAAACGTTGTTGGGTGGATCAAATCTGTACATCACGCAGATGATATGAAAAGCTAGAAACTTTCAACAAGGATCGCTCCGATTTCCACCTACAAATTAAATCAACGGGTAAGAGACACAGAATCTTAGGCAAACAAGAGAAGGCATCAGTTTCCTTTACTACAAGGAAGAAGAAATAAACAAAACAGAAGGAATGAATGAATGAATGTCGAACACAATTCTGTTTGAACTTCAAACAGCCCCTCCAGAAGGAAGGAACTGGAGACAGGGACTCCATACAAACAGAGCCACAGTAAAGACAAGTGCTTTAACCTCCAAATCGAATAAAATGATGCAAGAAAGCAGTGAATTTTCTCAAGGAAGACTCGCAGAAAGACTTGCCTCTCGCTGACCCGAGCCGCTAAATCCTTCGATGGAGCAGATCCCACAGTCCCTCACTTAGATAATATATAGGAAGTCGTAGAGCGGTAGAGTTGAATGGTTCCCGTTTGTGAATCTGCTTTTTTCCATATCTTATCTGGAGAAGGATTCGCTCTCACTACCGCCGCCGCCCGCCTAGCTCTGTGCTTTCAACTTTCCCTCTCTCCTCTGCCATCTCCCTAGATTTGTCATGTATGAATTATTATACAAACCTGCTTCGGAGCTCATAGATTAGAAGGTCAACTGGCTGAATCGCCAAAATCAGAGTCAGGCTAACAAGTTAATTAAGAGGACGCCATTAACCCATTGGACTGTCTGATTCCAGCCCACATTTAAATGGACTAGACCATGGGCTATTTCATTACCCATCCACCAATTTCCAGCCCACGATCTGACCGACAGCTTCAATTTGTCTAGGATGGTAATTAGGGATGGCAATGGGTTGAGTTTTGTCAAACTCAATCTCATTGTTTATTCGTAAAATAATTCGGGGTAAAACTTAATGGGTTAGGAAAACACAAATCCAACCTAACTCACTGGGTATCTATGGGTTCATGGGTACCTATGAATTTTTGTGGTAAAAAAATTTACAATAATAAGTGTCTATCAAAATAAAAGTAAAACATCAACTTCTCCATACAATTTATCTATACATAAAACATTGGTCTATAAAATTCAAACAAATCACAAATTATCCATACAAATTGTTAATTAGATTGGGAGAAATTAGAATTAGGGTAGGGTTTGGAGAGAGTAGGCGACAGAATATGTGTGAGCGGGTATTCATGGGTCGTGTACCTCTAAACCCAAACCCAACCCAACCGGGTGAAAGTGTAACGCGCTTAAACCCAAACCCGGGCCGGTATCCAAAACACGAGTTGGGGGAAATTAGGTCCCATTCGGCGGGAGGATTGGTTCTTCTGTCTCCTACAGGGGTGATCAGTATGGCCACGGGTGTGCAAATTGCGGGTATTGATGATCCGATGGTTGTGGAACTGTTGGTGCTTCGGGAGGCTATGCTTTGGTGTCAGGGATTGGGCCTTACTGATGTTCGTTTTGAAGGCGACGCCAAGGTCATTATTGACAAACTCAATCGGGGGGATCATGGAGATAACAGGATGGGTGCTGTTCTTGAAGAAATTGCTAATTGGCTCCATGTCCTGCCTAGGTTTAGCATTCGGTTTGTAGGTCGGCATAGTAATAAGGTAGCCCATTTGGTGGCTAGAAAAGCCCTTTCTTTGTACCCGGCCATGAGTCGTTCTTTTGATTTTCATACCTGGCTGTCTTCCAGGGTGTAACTGCCTATTTTTTGAATCAATATATGATTATCTTTTGTCAAAAAAAAAAGATTGGGGGAAATTAGAATTAGGGTAGGGTTTGGAGAGAGTAGGCGACAGAATATGTGTGAGCGGGTATTCATGGGTCGGGTACCTCTAAACCCAAACCCAACCCAATCGGGTGAAAGTATAACGAGTTTAAACCCTACCATTGAGTTCGGGTTTTGTTGTCATCCCTAATGGTGATGGTAGGGGTGAATAGGTGGGTGACCCACAGATCCAGGGGCGGAGCTAGGTGAGGGCTTAGGGCCCCCCCCCCCCCAGAATTTTAGAACTTACGTATAATTTGTACGAAATTTGAAAAGTTACGTATAAACATAACAATATTTATAAATACTTACGCGTGCAAAATTTGGTCACATGTACATGCCAGTCTAACGGTGAAGTCTTAACTCTGCATCTCAATTGACCCGAGTTTTTTTTGTTTGTTTGTTTGACAATGGCAGTTTCATTAAAACTGAGAAGTGTACAAAGTGGGTAAAAACCCAGAGGAAAGACAACATACAAAACCAACAAAGAAGGAGAAAAGCCCAAACACACAGGCCCAAAAATAAGGGAAAAAATCCAAAAGTACCACTGTTTAAAAAAAAATTCCAAAAATACCACCCAACCCCAAAAAATTCCAAAAATACCACCCTTTTTCAAAAACGCCACCCCACCCTGCTGTTTACACTAAAACCGTTTGTCCGGGGCGCGGTATTCTATGCAAACCGCGGGCCTAGGGGGCGGTTATAAAAAAAAATTGGACCAAACCGCTGGGTGGGGTGGCAGTTTGGCCTAAAACCGCCACCCCACCCAGCGGTTTGGTCCAATTTTTTTTTTTCCGATCAACTCCTAACTTCGGCCGAAACTTCAAACGAACGTAACTTTGCACTCGGGTATCCGATCGTAGTGAATGTTTTTTCCATTTCGCATAACTTTTCAAGATCTACAACTTTTACTAGGATGAAATTTTTAAAACAGGAACTATTTGTGGATATACGAGACCTTGGGAATAACCTTACCTTTACTTTTCACAAATCCATGTACATTTTGAAATTATGATTATATTAATAGTTGTAGATCTTGAAAAGTTATGTGGAATCAAAAAAAATTCATGACATTCGTATTTTGGAGCACAAAGTTATGGCCGCCCAAAGTTTGACGAAATCAAAAAAGGCTCGTTCGGGGTGGCAAATGACGTTTTTTCGAGACGAAGGTGGGACCCGGCGGTTTACGGCTTGCAAGATCTCAAAAAGTTATTCGGATTCAAAAAATGGAGGCCGCAAACTTTTTGAGATCTTGCAAGCCGCATACCGCTGGTTCTCGCCTTTCGTCAAACTTTGGGCGGCCATAACTTTGTGCTCCAAAATCCGAATGTTATGAATTTTTTTTGAGTCCTCATAACTTTTCAAAATCTATAACTTTTAATATAATCATAGTTTCAAAATGTACATGGATTTGTGAAAAGTAAAGGTAAAGTTATTCTCAAGGTCCCGTATATCCACAAATAGTTCCTTTTTGAAAATTTTATCCTAGTAAAAGTTATAGATCTTGAAAAGTTATGCGAAATGAAAAAAAATCGCTACGATCGGATACCCGAGTGCAAAGTTACGTTCGTTTGAAGTTTCGACCGAAGTTAGGAGTTTATCGGAAAAAAAAAAAAATTGGACCAAACCGCTGGGTGGGGTGGCGGTTTTGGGCCAAACCGCCACCCCACCCACCGGTTTGGTCCAAATTTTTTTTTATAACCGCCCTCTAGGCCCGCGGTTTGCATAGAAAACCGCACCCCCGACAAGCGGTTTTCGTGTAAACCGCAGGGCGGGGTGGCGGTTTTTGAAAAATGTGGTATTTTTGGAATTTTTTGGGGTTGGATGATATTTTTTGAATTCTTTTTTTAAACAGTGGTATTTGTGGAAAAAAATCCAAAAATAAGTGTCCAAAGACCAAAACACATTAGCCCACAAACACCCACAAAATAGCCCACACCAGGACAAAACCCCAACACTAGCTGGTTCCATCTTCTATGTGTAGCCGCCGTCGTTGGTAACAACATCATCCACCGAACACCATCCCAACCCAGCACCAGATAGAGAGAACCAACTCCACTGTAAGCGAAATGAGGCTGGAATGCAAAAGCTTACCATCCCAGATGCGGATCGAAGCAAGACGAGCACAACAGAACCAATACTCGCCTCCCAACCTTACCTCATCGGACCAGAACGTCTTCAGATGCTCCCAGAAGACCATGCACGAGCCGATCTTCAGATAAAATGGGCGTCCGACGATAAAACACATATATCGAGTCTCTGTCTTCAGATCTCCCCACCACGTCCGAGCCGATTCACAAGGGAAGGCTACTAGCATCTCCGAAACGCCGAGATCAGCTGGGCGAAGCAATGAGGTAGACGAGAGGCGAGAAGACGAGAAGGCAAGCCGATCTTAAGAACCAAAACCAGCCACCCTTTGCCACCACGAACAAAAGATCTCTATATTTGAAGAATCAGAACAGAGCTAGAAGACAATCATCTCTAGAAGAGAGATCGAAGGAGGAAATCCAAAAGAGGATCTGAAAAAGAAAAGCAAAAAGAAGGAAATAGAGCGATTGAAAAGATGGAGCGGAGGGCTGCCACCGGTCGCCGGAGAGACGCCGGCAGCAGCCCCCGGAAGGGACTTGGAAAGAAAAGTTTAGGGAGAAGTCAGAGTAGAATGGAAGAGAGAGGTGTCAAGTGGGCGGGGTTGTTTAATTGACCCGAGTTCAATCCCTGTAAGGTGCTGGTTTTAATTTTTTTTACTGTGTACTTTTTCTTTAAAAAAGCTTCTCCTATTGATAACCATTCATGTTTCTTTTTGTGTTTTCATTTACCACAGAAATAATTTTATTTTTATATTTCCTTATAAGTTCAGTTATTGATTTTAGATTATACCAATTTAGTTCTTCAACTTTTGAATTCTTATTTATTGTGTTATTAATTGACTTCAAACATTAATATATACATATATTTATTTTCCCGTCATAAAGATATTGAAGGACGTAGTATACATTGGAATGTATGATTTATTTTTTGTTCATATAATTACCCTTATTTGGAACATAATAACAGAGATTTTTTTTTACATATAATTTAATAACGTGATCATATAATTCACATTTCCCTACTAGTAAACCAAACAAATTTTGGCACCCCCGAACATCAAATCCTAGCTCCGCCCCGGCGCCCCCGCACAGATCCACCCAAAACCACCCGCAATCGACCCACCCATTATCATGTGGGTGGTTCATATGGGTGGATGTGGGTTGTGAAAATAGGTGACCCACAAAAGATTGGTTGGGTGCGGGTGGACTATGGTTGACCCACGATCCACCTAACATTTTAAGCTCAAACCATCGAAGTTCTAACATATAATTTTACCGAAAATAGAACTCTTAAAATCACAAAAGTTCCTCTCAATTTTGATCAAAAGATGAGTTGTGAGGTGTTCCATAAGCAATTTGAATCCCCAACTTGCACAGTAACTCTTTTAAACGAAATATGTCCAGTCCCTTGGTGAACAGATCAGCCTTTTGCTCCACATTTCCAACATGCTCAAGCTTAATCAAAACACTCTTAATCCTTTCTCTTGTAACATGCATATCAATCTCAATGTGTTTTGTTCTTTCATGGAACACAGGGTTCTCTGCTATGTGAATTACTGATCTGTTATCACAATATATAGGGATTGGTAAGGGTACCTGAACTGTCAGTTCTGAAAGTATCCTTTTGAGCCATTGAACTTCACAAACAAGGTGTGCCAAAGCCCTGTACTCTGCTTCTGATGAAGATCCAGACACTGTTGTTTGTTTCTTGGTTTTCCATGTGAGAAGGGATGTGCCCAGAAAAGTATAGTACCTTGTTATAGACCTTCTAGTGTCTGGGCAGCTAGCCCAATTAGAGTCACTGTATCCACTAAGCTTCAAGTCTGCATTGGTCTTAAAGTGTATGCCTTGCCCTGGTGCAGTTTTCAAATATCTAAGAACCCTATAGGCTTCCTGCAAGTGTTCCTGGCAAGGGTTCTTCTGATATTGACATAGCTGCTGAACTGGGAATGCTATGTCAGGCCTAGTGATGGTGAGATAATGAAGCCTTCCAATTAGCCTTCTATAGCATTTTGCATCTTCTAATGGTGTTCCCTTAGCCACCAACTTGACCTTTGCAGCATAAGGAGACTTACATCCCTTAGCTTCCAAGTATCATGTGTCCTTAACCAGCTCAATACAGTATTTCCTTTGGCATATGCTCATTCCTTTTGCATTTCTGCTCACTTCCAGACCTAGAAAATATTTAAAAGGTCCTAATAACTTGATCTTAAATGCCTTACTTAGGGACAGTTTCACTTGGTCAATGTCCTTCTGGGAATCTCCACCTAGGATTATGTCATCTACATAAACCAAGAGCACTACAACTCTTCCATGTGTCCATTTGGTGAAGATATAATAGTCAGAAGCTGCTTGTGCAAACCCTTGCCTCATAAGTGACCCTGTCAGCTTGGCAAACCATTGCCTTGAAGCCTATTTCAGGCCATACAGGGATATCTTTAATCTGCAAGCCATCTTCTGCCCATTAGAGTTAGGTACCTTAACCCCTAAAGGGATCTTCATGTACACTTCCTCCTCTAAATCACCATGAAGAAATGCATTTGACACATTAAGCTGTTCTAAGACCCAATTCTTTACTGTTGCGACTGCCAGAAAGGCCTTTACTGAATTGATCTTTGCAACAGGTGAGAATGTGTCTAGAAAGTCAATCCCATAGATTTGGGGAAAACCTTTTGCGACAAGCCTTTCCTTTTCTCTTTCAACTCCTCCATCAGGCTTCAACTTCAGTTTGAAAACCCACTTGTTACCAATTGCTTTCTTCCCTTCTGGCAGTGGGACAATGTCCCAGGTCTGGTTCTCTTCCAATGAGTATATCTCATTATTAACTGCCCTATTCCATTCCTCACTTTTAATGGCTTCATAATATGAAGTAGGTTCTACCATATTAACCACACTTAAAGCATATGCCCTATCTTCAGCACTCAAGGTATCAACATTCAAGCACACTGGATGTCTCAAGCATGCATTAGACTGTTTGAAACCACCAAACTGCAAAGAAGGGTCCAGTTCAAAGTCTTTATACCTTGCTGGGAGATTGACTTTTCTAGGTGGCCTTCTTCCCTTAACCATCTCTTCATCACCAGGATCAAAGTCTTGCTGGGGCATCAACTCTTGTTCATCTGCATCAAAGTACTCATAATGGTCTGCAATATAAGGAACTGATGAAGAAGATGGTTATTCCTTAGGCTGCCCCCTTTCATCATAGGATGAATGATTCTGAGGAGGGGAAGAAGAAGTAGATGGATGTGATGAGGGAAGTACACTAGAAGGGAAAAAAGAAGGGTGATAAGGAGATTGGAAATATTGAGAAGGTGCAGCAGGAGAGGACTTTGCTGGATCATGGCTAGGATCATGTTTAAAAGGCAAAATGTCTTCATAGAAGATGACATTTCGAGAAACAAAAACTTCTCTGGTATTTATATCCAGTAACTTATATCCTTTGACACCAGCAGGTAGGCCAAGTAGGATACATTGCTTAGCTCTAGGTGCAAATTTTGTTCTCCCTTGAGCAAGTGTACTGGCATAACATAAACACCCAAAAATCCTCAAGTTCCCAAGGAAAGGAGGCTGATCAAAGAGGATTTCATAAGGAGATTTGTTTTTGAGAAGAGGTGTGGGAATTCTGTTAATAAGGTAGACAACATGGAGTATGCAGTCACTCCAAAACTCAAGAGGAATGCCAGATTGAAATTTTAAGGACCTGGCCACATTTAGAATGTGTTGGTGTTTACGTTCCACTCTTCCATTTTGTTCTGGTGTTTGAACACAGGAAACCTGATGTTCTATACCTTCAGCAGCAAAGAATTCACACATTTCAAACTCCTTCCCCTGATCATTTCTGATAATTTTAACTGTCTTCCCAAACTGGTTCTTAACCAGATGACAGAAATCCTGTAAATACCCCCTTGCTTCACCTTTATGATGCATTAAATAAACCCACACAGTTCTAGAGCAATCATCAACCACAGTGAGAAAGTAACTAAAACCATCATAAGAAGGAACAAATAGAGGTCCCCATATATCCACATGAACCAAATGAAAAACATCAGGTGCAATGTTGGTACTAACAGGAAAAGGTAACTTCTTATGTTTGGACAAATGGCAAACTTCACAGTGTTTGATTCTATCACTAGTTACATCAGGAGAGGTATGATGAATTAAAGAAATCCTATCATGACCTGGATATCCTAGTATGCAATGCCATAGGTCAAGCTGTTGAGGTTGAAAGTTGAATAAGGTGGCTGCAAGGTGTGGAGGTGATGAATGAAAGGTCTTGGACTGTCTAGGTGTGAAGGTGAGTTGGTAGAGCCCTCTAGTTTCTTTTGCCAAACCAATCTTCTTCATGCTTAGTAGGTCCTGGATATGACAATGATCAAAATGGAAAAGTAATGAGATTGGGAAGTCTTTGGTGAGTTTGCTAACTGAAACTAGGTTGCATGTAAAGCTTGGAACTAACAAAACATCATAAAGGAACAAACCAGTAGGTAACTTGACTGTCCCTATATGAGTGACAAGGACTTTTGTACTATTTGGGAGGTAAACAAAGGTATCAACAACTTGTTTAGACTAGGTGAACAAGGATTTACTACAGGTTGTATGATCTGAAGCCCCTCTATCAAGTATCCAGAGGCCTAGATTATCAGGACTACAGTTTTGGGCTGAGGACAGGACATATTTACCGGAGTGATTAGGAAAGGGTGCTAGGAATTGAGATACTGAGTAGGCTTGATGGTCAATAGATGGTGAGGTAGGTGGAGAGGGTGATGTATTAGTACCAACTTGCAGGAGATACCTGAGTCTGTTCATTTCCTCTGGTGTAAAACTGGGTGGTGCCTGAGCAACACTCCCCTCACTAGAGAATCCTCCCTCTGATTGTGCTTCATTGAATCCAGGTTGTGAAACTGAACCAGTAAACCTAGGAGTGCTAGAGCTTGAACTAGACCCTAAGTTTGATCCATTACCATTCTTCTGATCAGACTGCTTCTTCTTCAACTTGTAACAGTCCTCTATATTGTGATTCCTCATTTTGCAAAATCTGCAAAACTTCCTGCCCTGCTTTCCTTCACCAGATTCCCTTCCTTGTTCTCCTTCTACTGCCAGAGCTAGAATCTATGACCTTCTTCCTCCATTTGTATTGTCACCCTTCAATTTCTCTTCATGTTGTAAAAGGTCATCCACAGTTGTTGACACAGTTGGCAAGGGCTTCTGCATCTCAAGAAACGAACCACATAATCTGTTTCTTGCTTCTGAACAAAGGTTGCCACTGCAGCACATGGTACAATAGGATTGTACTCAACATACTCGTCCCACAACCCTTTCACTTCTGTGTAGTATTGAGTGATATACCTCGAGCCCTATTTACAAGCAATAATCTCATCTTCCAGATTAGTGATCCTAAGGGCATTAGGTAACCCAAATCTTCTTTTCAACTCATCCCAGAGGGCCTTAGCGTTACTATGGGTAAGGATTGATCTCCTTATGTCCTTCTGAACAGAGTTTTGAATCCAACATAACACAAGGGTGTTGCAAGCATCCCATATTCCAAACATATTGGAATCTCGTGCTGGCATAGGTATGGATCCATCAATAAATTCGATCTTATGCCTAGTTTTTAGAACAACTTGCATAGATCTACTCCACATACTATAATTAGACCCATCAAACAGCTCAGCAACCACAAAAATGGACATATTCTCGTTTGGGTTGAGATAGTAGGGGTTACCAAACGTAATCGTCTCATTCTGAGCAGTCTCTTGGTTGAATGAGCCAAATTGCAGGTTCACTGGAGTTCCAGTCACATTTGCTCCTGAGCTCCCTGAATCGCGAGTGTTGCCTCCTGGGGTTGTTGGTTCAACAATGGCGGCGCGTTCTGAGAAACCCTAGAGCCTCACAGCTCTTATACCATATGAATTCTGTAGAGTGATTTGTGAAAGAGAAGCTCAAGCTTTCTGCTGAGTTCTCTGTTCGTTTTTATAGCAGCAAAATCAAATTATCAAGCTAGTACAGGTGTCACGATTCTACTGGCCATTAGCAACATAAAACACTGTTTGCTTAACGACTAATAAACAGAAAGCAAAACGTCGTCGCAGCGACTAAATGAAAACAAAACATAACAGAAGAAACATCCTCGGTGATGAAACGTTTCTCCACTTCTTCTTCTTCCTCTGTCAATCCTTGCTGATTCAGGACTAGGGATGGCAATGGGTCGGGTTGGGTCGGGTTTTGCCAAACCCAAACCCATGGGTTTATCCGCGAAAAAAACCCGGGGTAAAACCCATTGGGTTTGAAAAACTCAAACCCAACCCAACCCGCTGGGTATCCGTGGGTTCATGGGTACCCATGGGTTTTTGACGTAAAAAATTTACAATAACAAGTTCCTATCAAAATTAAAGTCAAATATCAATCTCTCAATACAAATTATCCATATATAAAACACCATTTTAGAAAATTCAAGCAAATCAAGAATTAACTATACAAATTGTTCAACACCATTCTAGAAAACTCAATAAATATAAAGCAAATCACAAATTATCCATAAATAACATGATTAATCGAAAGCTTCTTCCTTTCAATTAAGTTTCTTCACTCTCCACTCGATGACATCAACTTCATTCTACACAATTAGAAAGAAAAAATTAGACATGTCTCCAGAAACATAAATAAGATTAGTTGTTTAGAATATTAGATATATCGAGAAAATTAACTATATGGGTGTGGGCGGGTACCCATGGGTCGGGTTTACCTAAACCCAACCCGGTGAATAGTGAACGGGTTTAAACCCAAACCCGGCCCAAAACCCGTCAACACGGATTTTACCCGCGTTGACCGGATTGAATCGGGTGGGTACCCATGGGTTTGGGTTTCGTTGCCATCCCTATTCAGGACTAGCTCTGCTACTCCAATCCAGACTGTTACGAGCAAATTCTGCGTGATTCCGAAGTTTTGGGTTTTTTATTTTGAAATTCAAAATTTATGTCCTGAGCGGGATGATTTGGAGCGGAAGAATTTCACAATAGTTTCGCACGCCTACTTAATCTGGTGATTTCAATTGAGCCGGGAAAGGAAAACAAAGCTGAGCTTAGAGAAACAGAAATAGCAGAGAGACTGAGAGCGAGAGTGGGAGGAAAGGAAAGAGAGGAAGGAAAGCTACTCATCGGAGTCTGATCATGGCCGGGAATCCATGTCCCTTACCGACGAACCGTCTACTCCTGGCATTCAAGGCTTCCCAGGCTCAGGTTTCCAAGATGGAAGCCCTGGTTGAGGCATCGAAGAAGTGGAGGACGCAGCTGAGGAGCAGCCGGAGGCTCCTGGACGAACTGGAAGCAGCGCTTGCTAATAGCCCCGTGATTGCCGTCAACTCGATGGATGAACTGACTACTTTGATTGAGCTGCTGCCGAAATATCCCAAGTTCTGCGGGAAGATCATGGTGTACAGGCACAACCTTACCGCTGAAGAGCAAGCAAGGGTTACGAATCGAGCTCTCAGGGCAGGCATTCCAGTGTGCCCTCCTGGCAACACTTTGGAGAGGTTGGGTGTTTGAGGATTGGATCGATGTAGTAGTTTCGTTTCTTAGGTGTTGTTCGTTTTCCACTTCGTCTCTTATCACAACACCTGTATCATCTATCCTTCTTTAGCATTGTTTTCAATTTGTCCGTTTGTTTGAAATCAGTTTGTGGTGGATATTGAATCAGCTAGAAATCATTATTCTCTACTGTTTGTTTGCTTCTCACGGGCGTCCTTGTGCTTTGCTTTTTCTGAGAACTCCGGTGGTTAAACCGTGTTTCGTAGTTAATTTCGGTTCAGCAATCACTTCAACATCAAGGGCGATAGAATCTAGGCTTCAACATTTCCTTAGTAATTATTCTCTACTGTTTGAAGTGATTGCTGAACTTCACGCACACGCTAGTGGCGTTATTGCAGCCTTCCCCGCCTTGGTCCGGGATCGGGATGGTTGGTTATTGCCTGCAAACTCACGTATTACAAGCACTGCCACTCTCACTCCTTCCATCCACTTGCTCTCGTGTTCCGTCGTCTCCAACCCTCAGCCCATCGACTTCAATGGTCTGCAGAAGTTGTACCTGTGCCTGAAGCTGTTTGAACAGGGCATCGGATGCAAAAATGGTGGTCACCAGAGCTGCAGCACTAACCCAGGAAACTCCCAGCTGCTGTTCTCATCCTTGTTTCTTCCCTAGTAGCTGCTGGTTAGCCCCCTACTTGCTGTTTGTTTGGACGGATTCATTCCTGATGGTGTTGCTTTTGTAAGTTTGTGCAAAGGCCTTTTGTGGAATCAGCTAGTCTTGGCCCCTTTCGCTTCTCATGTATGATACAGTTGTAGTGCATGATGTTCAATTGATGAGGCTGCTCCCTATTTTCTGTTAAATGTAAGATAGAGCTAAGAAGAGCTGCCAACTTTATAAAGTGAGTTGAAAGAGCAGTGAAAGCTTTGCCCAGAGCTTTGAAATGAGATATTTTGTAGATGCAACTTTTTTCCCGATTGTCCTGCTCTAAGCTTTATGCAGTGAGCTTCTTTGGCCAGTTACTCTCTGCCTTGCAGTTGCAGGGTGGGAATGCTGTTGGTTTAGTATTTATTTAATCCAGATGAGCACAACATATTGTTAGATAATTTGTATCTGCAGATCATAGAGAAGCTGGTTGATTGTCACCTAGTGGCTAGTTGCACCAAGGTGGATGTTTAGTTGGATGTCATACATTTTGGATCATGCGACTTACGATGCGAGGCCAGTTGATATATCTGTGTCCTTTCGTTAGTTATATTTGCTTGTTTGGTTGACATTTGTAGGGTTAGCTGTTGCTAGCTTCTTGTCAAGCAAAGTGTGTTATTTGAATAGGTCAAGAGAGTTAGAGTTGTTAGCAGAAATTCAGGAGCGGTGTGAGTGGGTAGTCATGGAAGTTGAGATTGAAGGTTTCTGTAACACTCCTGCCCGAACGATGAGTCAGTCTCGACTAAGAATGCAGTAGTGGAAGGATATGCTTTGAATGCATGTATTGAATGTCACATCTCAAAGACCTTTATTTCAAAATCTGCAGGTTTAGGAGGTCTGTTAAGTTCCTCTCAGGATGATAACTTATGACAGAGCATATGTTTCGCTTTTGTTTGGATCATGAAAGCAAGTGTGCGTCCATTCATAGAACATTTACAAAGCACACAGTACAAGGCTCTGAGAATTTTGTTTAATGTTTTTTTTCCCCAGATAAATAAAGATCTTGCTTCCTTGGATGTTATTCTCACTCTTCATTGTCATATTTGTTTTCATTACTGGTAACTATTAGCCTTTGTATGCATGACTCCACTCAAATGCTCCTATGCTAACTAAAATGGCGAAGCGGCTGAGTGTACTTCAAGACAGTTGTTGCACTTCCAAATCAGTGGGAGGACCATCCCGGTCTTCAGAAAATAGGGGCTGCAGTTCGGTCACTGTTGGGTATTCCTGTGGAAACACCCTTGGGCAAGGTAGCAGTCTATCAATGCTATGCCTCGTGTAAACATGAACATGGATAAAAACAACCCTTAGTGAGATGCATTTCTAATTAGTTGTATTCGTCATGTGCAGGCTCTTTTAGGATGCCAATTACTTCACCGTATGGCCATTGCATTGGAGGAGAATGGATCAAAACTCTCTCTGTCTGGTACCCATCTTGTTTGAAGATTGTGAAAGTCTCTGTTCTAATAAGCTGTAAATTACTTGTGATTTAAGTTATCATATTTCTTCTGGAATGCAGATGAATTTGAACTTCTGGTTGCTTTGGCACGATTGTTGCAGAAGATGGAAGTTGACTCATGGTCTATGTTGCTTGATAAGGTGCAGGAGCAGTATGATACTAATGCTGCTAAGGTAAAGAACAGCTGGTTCTCTTTTATATTTGTTTTTGGTCGCAGATGTTGAGCTCCCGCCGAATTTGATTCTCATTTTCACATCTTCAAATTCTGTCTGCAGTTGTGGTTCGCCCGGTCTTCAATTTTCCATCAGAGTCGCGCTGGTGAAGTTGCTATATATGAGCAAACAATAAGAGAAAGGTAGGGCTCATTTGAGTTTCCTAGACTTCAGTCATGTAGGGAACTCAGAAAATGAAGTGTTTCGACCAACATTAATATATACATTGCTGTGTCGAGAAGTTTGTCCAAACTCTGAGCCTTGGAGAACTCCAAAAAGCGCCTCCAGTTACTATTGGCTTTCTATGGCCAAATTAGTGTTGGGATGTGTCTAGAAGTGGAGAGTTATGCCAGGTAGTTAGGCATGTCTTTTCTTTCGTTCCTTTGCCTTCTCATTCAAGACTTGTAATCGTTCTCTAGCTTCATCTACACATATTCAGGCCTGTCACTGACCAGTTCTTTGATGATATGAACTCTGTTTCAGAAAAATGAAGAGGTATCCTGCCATCTTCATCCGATCCATGCAAGCATCGGCGACCCCTGCACTCAACAAAGCCTTGACAATTTTACTATGGCCAGCATCAGAAGCTAGGTGAAGTGGGGTGTGGTTGGATGAGTCAACCTCTATATAAGTATAGGTGTCCAGCTAGGACCAATATGTGTAAACGGGTTTACGTGAAGGAAGAAATTGGAAATTTCTTCAGAATCAAGTTATATCCTTGAGTAAAGCTTAGCAGGGTTTCTCTACTGCCTCTTATTGCTTCATCATAGAGAGGTGATACATCAACTTATGCTAGGTTAATCCCCGTTACTCCAAGTGGTAGCTCTCCACCTCTACAGAACATCAGCTTATATAATGCCATCTTGAGACCTGGCAGGTATTTTCTTTTCCACAGATTTGCAAGTGTGAGTCTTCCAGAAAAAACATATAATTGTCACCTTCTTGGAGCAACCCACTTAAACAAAATTTGATCATTGAATAGGAGATAAAACCACCAAAGTACTATCGAAGAGCACTGAGATACAGATTTAGACTTGTATGATTCTGCTGTTCCAGATGTTTTTTCAGCCACCCAAGGGGATTTGGGTGGCATCACTCTGCTGCTGACAAGGAATCTTTTTTGCTTGCGTCAGCTTGTTGGAGGCCACTAAAATTCTTTTCCTTTTTGAGCTGCCTATTATTTCTCTTTCTAACTTATACCTGCTAACCAAGTTCAAGGGATTTCGTACATTGCAAGCCACTATCACAAAGAGAATACCATTGTCAATGAACAAGTTCGTGGATCTGTTGAGTACCTAAGCAACTTGCTAGGCACTGTAGATGGTTCCTTGCTATCTCTTACCTCCACTAGAGATATCTGTTTGATCTGGACTGTTTGTGTGCTCTGGTTTAATGCTATTTGGCCCGGACGCTACACAGTAAAAATTGGTTTGATGAAGACTGATGGGAACAGATCCGATCTTAAAATTCTGCTGTTGACTTGCACAAGTCTTAAGGAAGACAGTGCAGGTCCACCTGAACCAGACCCTGATGTTACTTACTGCTACAGGTTACTATATTACCTCTGCAGGCCAATCCCAAATGCTGCAGCTTATGGTCTCATTCAGTGCAGAGCCTATGTTTCCAAAGAAGACTGTCAAACTTGTGCACAGAAAGTAGTCTTGGAGGTCATCGATTGTGTCCCCAGTACGAAAGCCACATCGGAGGAGGTAGTGGCACTGAGGTGGCGCCACTGTGTCCGAAACCGAGAGCCTCCACCGATAGTTGCAGCCTTCCAGGAGGTGCTGGCACTGTTTGAGCTGCGGTGTTTTTAGGTTAGTGATGATGTGCCTTTGTAATAAGGAAATGAGTAGTGTACTGTTAGCATTGATATAGTGTCTTCTTGGTAATGATGCGATGCATTGGTTGTAATAATACGGTTTCTTGCACACATTGGGCGGTTGATGAAATTGCAGAATTAGTCGCCAGAATTTGATTAAATTGTGCGAAAATTGATTGGCCATAATGTTTTATGTAAAATGGTTATGTTCACGAGTATAAGACGATGACATGTGGGGATAGATTGTAGAGCAGAGGAAAGTCAGAATCTCTAACACAGACGGAAGTCTGGAAACAATGATGCATTCTACGGAATAGTTCAGAACGTCCAAACAACCCCCTTCATTCTATGACCTGATTCAGTCCTATAAATGTTACAAATCACAGCTTGTCTAAACTGAAGTACAGGGCCAGCTGTATAGGATAAGTTAACTCACTCATGAACATGTAAAACACAAACCAAAACCAAGCCATGGAATAGCAGTAAATTAACTAACGGGGATAACAAGCTCAACGGTTGAGGGCAGTCTAGATTTCAACATCTGAATGCACGCGACTGCAACTTCAGCTTGCACTCTCGGGGCGTTAAATATGCGTCCAGTACTAGTGCATGTGCGACTATCGAGAATCAATTTCTCAAGCGTCACAAAGTTCCGCAGCGCATAGTCCAGGAACCAACGCCCTGTATAGGTAGCTGCGCTACCAGCAAACCCACTAACCTCCACCACTTTGATGCTCTCCCTGTGCATCTCCTCCATCTCACTCCCACCCCAAATGCGGCAGGAGCTATCCTTTTCTTCGTCGGTGTCCATCTGCATTACATACAGTTACCAGGTTTGACATTACATTTTCAACTTCTTGCAACATCATAACCAGCGCATTTGAAAATGTGTACTAGAAGAAAGAGTAAAACTGAAGAACCAAACTTATCAGAACATGAGATAAACTAGCAAGTTCAAACTTCATAATTGATTGATGATGAATTGAGGTAAAATGAGATAGCATACCCGAACCGACAGTTGGTACAATGAAGGACAAGCATTTATCACGGGGAGCAGACCACGAATCTCGTTCCTATCAGAACCGAGCACATAAACAGTCAGCTGCTTAAGGGACGTCAACTCCTCAATCGACCTGGGAAACTTGGCTTTACGCTGCACCAATAGAAAGACTTCATTCAGATCACATCATAGTAATTATGTATAAGAGGGGGTTCAGTCATATTATGATGATTATTTACTTACCGCGTCAAACATAAAAGTGAGGGTCTCCAGCCGTGCAAACTTTGCTCGAGGAAGGAAAACAGGACCTGGATCAATCATGTTGTACAAGTCCAATCCGGTAAGCGACGATATATTTTCCATTCGAAGATCAATGCCATCTGGAAACCGACCATCCAACTTGAAGTAGGTGAGATTAGGCGCATCGATTTCAATCTCCTTTAGATTCTTACAATGGACTACTTCCAAGTGCTTCAACGGCAGTGGTGACGACAAGCCAGCAGCAACTTCAAACCTTACTAAACCATGGGAATGTTGGACGGCTAACTTCTCCAGTAGAGGACAATTGCAAAGGAAATGCTCAAGGATCTCATCGCTCACATCAACGAAAGCCAAACACAAGGACTGAAGGTACCGAATATCCGATAAACCCTCAGGGGTTTTCATATGTTTGAAACAGCGTTCCGAGAAAATATAGCACCCTGAAGCATCCCAACTGGTATCACCATACCGGTCAAAGTCCAGCTTGAGCTTCTGAACTCTTTTTGAGATTGCAAAGTCCAACCACCTATCGATGTCACCATTGGCATTGGATTCATTATGAATGTTGAAACAGGCGTGAAAGTTGTTCACTTTCCGACCCTGGTAGTGTGTCAAGACCCTATTAACCCATTCAATGTACCTCCACCTTTCGAAAAGCACGGGCTCCATATCCCCTGAATTCCAATAATTTTCCCAGATGCACTGCCTCATCTTTGGAACGTCGAAGTCCAAGTTTGGAACAAATTTCCACAAATCAACCCAAGTCACGGAGAGGATTGATGTCCTAGCTGCTTCTTTTAAGGTCAGGCGGGACAAAATCTCCACAAGAAGCGCATGGGGCAATGTGCTTATATGATCCATGGAAATAGCTTCCTCTTTAACCTATATGCACAGTAGAAATAGACAGCCAATGAGCGCAGGAAACCTCAACAAAGCTTTTGATTTACATAATAAGCAAACGGGACGGTAATTATCATGATGGAAAACAGAAGCAGCAGATCCATACCTTCTCCGAGCTACAAACGTTGTTGGGTGGATCAAATCTGTACATCACGCAGATGATATGAAAAGCTAGAAACTTTCAACAAGGATCGCTCCGATTTCCACCTACAAATTAAATCAACGGGTAAGAGACACAGAATCTTAGGCAAACAAGAGAAGGCATCAGTTTCCTTTACTACAAGGAAGAAGAAATAAACAAAACAGAAGGAATGAATGAATGAATGTCGAACACAATTCTGTTTGAACTTCAAACAGCCCCTCCAGAAGGAAGGAACTGGAGACAGGGACTCCATACAAACAGAGCCACAGTAAAGACAAGTGCTTTAACCTCCAAATCGAATAAAATGATGCAAGAAAGCAGTGAATTTTCTCAAGGAAGACTCGCAGAAAGACTTGCCTCTCGCTGACCCGAGCCGCTAAATCCTTCGATGGAGCAGATCCCACAGTCCCTCACTTAGATAATATATAGGAAGTCGTAGAGCGGTAGAGTTGAATGGTTCCCGTTTGTGAATCTGCTTTTTTCCATATCTTATCTGGAGAAGGATTCGCTCTCACTACCGCCGCCGCCCGCCTAGCTCTGTGCTTTCAACTTTCCCTCTCTCCTCTGCCATCTCCCTAGATTTGTCATGTATGAATTATTATACAAACCTGCTTCGGAGCTCATAGATTAGAAGGTCAACTGGCTGAATCGCCAAAATCAGAGTCAGGCTAACAAGTTAATTAAGAGGACGCCATTAACCCATTGGACTGTCTGATTCCAGCCCACATTTAAATGGACTAGACCATGGGCTATTTCATTACCCATCCACCAATTTCCAGCCCACGATCTGACCGACAGCTTCAATTTGTCTAGGATGGTAATTAGGGATGGCAATGGGTTGAGTTTTGTCAAACTCAATCTCATTGTTTATTCGTAAAATAATTCGGGGTAAAACTTAATGGGTTAGGAAAACACAAATCCAACCTAACTCACTGGGTATCTATGGGTTCATGGGTACCTATGAATTTTTGTGGTAAAAAAATTTACAATAATAAGTGTCTATCAAAATAAAAGTAAAACATCAACTTCTCCATACAATTTATCTATACATAAAACATTGGTCTATAAAATTCAAACAAATCACAAATTATCCATACAAATTGTTAATTAGATTGGGAGAAATTAGAATTAGGGTAGGGTTTGGAGAGAGTAGGCGACAAAATATGTGTGAGCGGGTATTCATGGGTCGTGTACCTCTAAACCCAAACCCAACCCAACCGGGTGAAAGTGTAACGCGCTTAAACCCAAACCCGGGCCGGTATCCAAAACACGAGTTGACCGTGCTGGATCGGGTAGGGTACCCTTGGGTTCGGGTTTTGTTGTCATCCCTAATGGTGATGGTAGAGGTGAACATTAGGTGGGTGACCCACATATCCAGGGGCGGAGCTAGGTGAGGGCATGGAGGGGCCCCGGGCCTCCCCTCCCGAGAATTTTAGAACCTACGTATAATTTGTACGAAATTTGAAAAGTTACGTATAAACATAACAACATTTATAAATACTTATGCGTGCAAAATTTGATCACATGTACAATGCCAGTCTGACGGTGAAGTCTTAACTCCGCATCTCAATTGACCCGAGTTTTTTTTTTTTTTTACAATGACAGTTTCATTAAAACTGAGAAGTGTACAAAGTGGGTAAAAACCCAGAGGAAAGACAACATACAAAATCAGCAAAGAAGGAGAAAAGCTCAAACACACAGGCCCAAAAATAAGTGTCCAAAGACCAAAACACATTAGCCCACAAACACCCACAAAATAGCCCACACCAGGACAAAAACACAACACTAGCTGATTCCATCTTCTATGTGCAGCCGTCATCGCTGGTAACAACATCATCCGCCGACCACCATCCCAACCCAGCACCAGATAGAGAGAACCAACTCCACTGTAAGCGAAATGAGGCTGGAATGCAAAAGCTTACCATCCCAAATGCGGATCGAAGCAAGACGAGCACAACAGAACCAATACTCGCCTCCCAACCTTACCTCATCGGACCAGAACGTCTTTAGATGCTCCCAGAAGACCATGCACGAGCCAATATTCAGAAAGAATGAGCGTCCGATAACAAAACACATAGATCGAGTCTCTGTCTTCTGATCTCCCCACCGCGTCCGAGCCGATTCACAAGGGAAGGCTACTAGCATCTCCGAAACGCCGAGATCAGCTGGGCGAAGCAATGAGGTAGACGATAGGCGAGAAGACGAGAAGGCAAGCCGATCTTAAGAACCAAAACCAGCCACCCTTTGCCACCACGAACAAAATATCTCTAGATCTGAAGAATCAGAACAGAGCTGGAAGACAATCATCTGTAGAAGAGAGATCGAAGGAGGAAATCCAAAAGAGGATCTGAAAAAGGAAAGCAAAAAGAAGGAAATAGAGTTCAATCCCTGGAAGGTGCTGGTTTTAATTTTTTTTAGTGTGTACTTTTTCGTTAAAAAAACTTCTCCTATTGATCACCATTCATGTTTCTTTTTGTGTTTTCATTTACCAAAGAAATAATTTTATTTTTATATTTCCTTATAAGTTCAGTCATTGATTTTAGATTATACCAGTTTAGTTCTTCAACTTTTGAATTCTTATTTATTGTGTTATTAATTGACTTTGAAACATTAATATATACATATATTTATTTTCCAGTCATAAAGATATTGAAAGACGTAGTATACATTGAAATGTATGATTTATTTTTTGTTCATATAATTACCCTTATTTGGAACATAATAACATAGAATGTTTTTTGACATATAATTTAATAACGTGATCATATAATTCACATTTCCCTACTAGTAAACCAAATAAATTTTGGCCCCCCCGAACATCAAATCCTAACTCCGCTCAGGCGCCCCTGCACAGATCCACCCAAAAACCACCTGTAATCGACCCACCCATTATCATGTAGGTGGTTCATATGGGTCGATGTGGGTTGTGAAAATAGGTGATCCACAAAAGATTGGTTGGGTGCGGGTGGACTATGGTTGACCCACGATCCACCCAATATTTTAAGCTCAAACCATCGAAGTTCTAACATATAATTTTACCGAAAATAGAACTCTTAAAATCACAAAAGTTCCTCTCAATTTTGATCAAGAGATGAGTTGTGAGGTGTTCCATAAGCAATTAGAGCTACTCTTTCGCATAACTAGTAGAAAAATGGCAGAAAAAGACAGTTGTATTTAATTATGCTCACAATGCCTAGGTGAATGAGACGCTCGGCAATACCACAACGTTTGCGTATGTCTAGTGCCTTTTTGAACATTGGTTGTTATCAGACTCAGAACATGTTTATTAATTGAATATTTTGTAATTTGTAGACAATTGCCAATACCAATATTGTAAAATAAATAAATTACCTGATTTATGCATTAAACATTATTTTGTTTGAAAATTTCTTTTATTTTAATTTTTAAATTATTAAAACTATGTGATCATATGAAATATATGTTGCAAACCACCGAATTCAACCAACCACCCATTATCCGCAATCATCCAACCCAACCCACCCACATATAATACTTGAGTGTGTGTGGGTCATTTTTTCCTTCACCCACCACGTAGTGTGGTTCCAAATCCACCCAAATCCGCATAAAACAATCCACCACTGCTCACCCCTATACGTTGTGTTCCAAATCCACTCAAATCCGCATAAAACAACCCACCACTACTCACCCTAGGTAATGGATTATGTCTTAATTTCCCCTTGAGCTTTCAGTGGAGAGACCGGCAATGAGGAACATGCAAAGCTTTCATGGGGCGAATCTCCATCAATCTTCAGGAGATTTCGCCGGCAACACCATTCGTTGGCAGGGACGAGATTTCACGTTTGAAATTGGGTTTTTTGATGGTTGTCATGCCACTGGCATGCCAGCCGGTTGGACCAAGTTCAACCGGTATCGGTCACGAAACCGGCTGGAATGCCACCGGTATGATGCTCTGGTCAATACCGGTCAAATCCGGTCAAAACCGGAAATTTCGGATGGTTCAACCGGAAGTTTAAATTCCAGAAACTAACTAATGCGGCGTCACTTTAAGGTTAGAATGTAAAAAAAAGGTCGGGTGGGGTTTTCTTTTGCAGTTTCGTGAGACCGATACATCATCCTTCCATCTCTGTCTTTCCCCTCCTCCGAGCTCTAAAGGATAAAGTGCAGAGGCAAGAGAGCTTGGCGGCGCAGCAAGCTCGGCGACGGGGATGCGGGACGGTGAGTCTTTCCGACGGCGAGGCTGGGCAGTGAGGCTCGGAGGGCGGGACGACTTGTCACGAGGACTCGACGATTGCGGCTAGATGCCGCCCTTAGCAGGGCTTGGATTGATTGCCGATTTTCCTGGGGAAAGAGGACAACAATGAATGATTGGGGATTGGGTTTAATGGAGGAGTTAATTGGGATGATTTGGTGGAGTTGGGTTTTCTTTCCATTGTTTAGATTTGTTTCTCTCTTTCTTTTCTGGTCGATTTGGGCAAGAATTACCATTCTTCTCCTTTTTTTTAACAACTATTCTTCTCCTTCTCTGTTCCAACGGAGAACATTCCCCTATTTTGTCTACCAATGAAACCAAATTTGATTTCCACCGCCAGACTACTGCTTACTACTATCCTTCTACCACATATCAATCATCCACAGAAGCAAGAAAGAAGGGTAATCACTCAGGACATGGAGAAGTTTTTCAGATTATTTTTAATGAATGGTTCTCAATTCTTATACATATTTTTGTTAAACCGGTATGTATACCGGTTGCCACAGTTGAACCATTTCACTTGCGAAACCGGCACACCGGCATAAACCGGTTTAACAACCTACTTTTTCCCTCTTCTTTCTACCGAGTGTTGTATGGTGGGTAGGAGTTTATAGATTTGGAGGGGGGAAAAGCTAGCGGTTAATCAGCGGTGCACCCGTTACAAATCGGTTAGTCACCGACAATCGACGGTTGGCTACGAAACTAAAATAACCCAATCGCGGTTGAAATTGCAATCATTTTTTCGATGTGCGATTACCTGACTAATCGTGATTTTTTGGTTCGGTTTTTTGGTTAGTCGATTAACAAATCACCGACTATCATCCCTAGTTAAGGTACCCGTCTCGCCCCATTGCTATCACTAGATTTAAGAGTATTAAAATTTGTGCATATGTGTTGAAATTTATGTTTAAAGAAAAAAATAGATTTTATCTCCATTATTGATTTTATTTTTTGCCTAAATAACTAACAAGCGGTTCATTTTTCACTCAATATGATCTACATGATCAAGACTCCAGCATATCTAAAATCACGTTGGGCCGCCAATAATGCAGAGTCCTTGGCTTAGCATCTTTTTGGGCCCAAACAGAACCTTGCTCGACCCCTCTATTTTATACCGCCCTTCAGGAAAGAAGACCTAGCAGCCTGCAGCAGGGAGCTGAAACCTATCAGTGAATTGAAGGGACTGATTCCCGATTTCCGACGGCGCATGGCCACCGCCGCGCCGCATTCACAGGACGACAGCGACGACGACGATATAGAACTAAACCCTATGAGAGTCCTTCTGCCTGCCGAAGAATCCGAAGAACGAGAAACCGCATCGGCGCGGCGAGATGGAGACTCCAATCTAGAAATCGAGCAGCATTACCTCCATTCAATCAAGTCAACCGTGAAAATCCGCCAGCTCCCATCGGAAGGCCTCTCCTTCAAGCTATGGCCCGCTGCAACCACTCTCGTCAACCTCTTCGACCGCCACGTAATCGATCCCACAACCAGCCCGCTCTTGTCCACCCTCACGGCCGCGGCCGCCGCCCGAGCAGATCGCTGCGGTGGTAAGCTCAAAATCCTGGAGATTGGCTCGGGGACCGGCCTCGTCGGGATAGCTGCTGCGGCCGTGCTGGGAGCTGACGTCACGGTCACCGACCTCCCCCACGTGGCGCCTAACCTTCAATTCAACGCGGAGCTCAACGCCGGCGTGGTGCGCTGCGGAGGAGGGGCGGTCGACGTGGCTCCGCTGAGTTGGGGAGAGGAGGATGACGTGGAAACCGTCGCGGGGCGGGGATTTGACCTGGTGGTAGCGTCCGACGTCGTTTACCATGACCACCTGTACGATCCACTGCTCAAAACGCTGCGTTGGTTGTTGCTGCTGGGAGGAACAGAGCCGGCAGGGGATAGGAAGCCGGCGTTTGTGATGGCGCATTTGAGGAGGTGGAAGAAGGACTCCACGTTCTTCAAGAGGGCCAGGAAGTCGTTTGATGTGGAAGCGATTTACGTGGACAGCCCGAGTGAAGGGCGCAGAATCGGCGTCACCGTATACCGTTTTACGGCCAAGGGACTGAGAAATGAGAAACTGGCTTCTGCAAAGGCAGTAGATGTTTAATGGTTGGGTGGTTATAAACAATTATCATTGTGCTTATGTAGCTTTGTTTGGTAACCAAATATCAGTCCTGAAAGGTGCCATATTTTGGCTGCTATTCAGTGTCATTTGCATTTTCATAAGGACTTAAAAGGCTACAAACAAATCGTATATCAATTTACACTAGGCCATTTGTTTTCGTTTTGTCAATGGGAACTGCACTCGAAAGAACGAAAATCTCGATGAGGGAACAAACTCTGCAAAACATACAACACAGGGGAGCGCCATCGAGCAAGCCACCGAACTTCGAAATGGAAAACCAACAAGCTCATGAATCCCGAGCTATGGCCAGCTGCAGGATGTGACTCTGGCTCCCCGACACCAGTTTCATGAAAATGGCAATGCACTCGCCGGTGCTGAGAATCTCCTAGCTGATGATGTATCAGCGGTTTTCTGGTGATGTAGTGAAATATCCGGTCTGAAAAAAATGTCACCACTTTCGAAGAGTTGTCGTTGTGCCTTTCGTGACGGCCTTCATACTTTGTGAGTCTCTAAAACAAACGAAATGGACGAGTGTTTTCCCGTTGGGATAGACTGCAAACACACTTGTTCCGATCTTCTTGTGGCAGAGGGAGCACATGCTGTCGCCGCTGATCTTCACGACTGTTTTTCTATACTTGTACAGCTCGTCTTTCACCTAGTTCACCACATAATAGGCCATATTCAGTGGGACTTAATATATTAACCATTCTCAAGTGGTCATTCCGGGCTATAAAGACGACATCAAGAGAAGTTATACTTATACGTAGGGTGTCATGGATACCTGCAGGTTCTCACTCTGTCTCAAACTCTTGATTACTGAAAGGTTCCGGTTCGCTTCACTGGATTTCCTCAGTAGAGGTCCAAGAAACGGCATCAGGTTCTGCATAGTACAAAACAAAATGAGTTCAACTATATGTCTCAGGCCTCTCGCGAAGTGGTTACCTAAGAAGATCAAGAAAATACAAAAGCAGAGGGCAGCTCTAAGCTTTCAGCATACAAGAACGTTGCTACTTTCTGGCAAAATTGTTACCTGTAAGTTAGTTTGCCTCGGTAAAAGTCTGAGGGCTTGGGCACCATTTATTCGGTCCCACCTTTTGCTCAAGAGATCAAGCACCTCATCAAGCATTATAGTAGAACTTCCTTCCAGACTAATTTCGTCTGTATCGCCATCACTCCTGCTGCTGTCAGTGCCACTTGGACTCACACGCAAGTCATCTGCAACTTCTATTGCAGCAATTTTCTTAGCTCCACGACCACCTTTAGTCTTGGTTCCACTTGCAGAACTGACCTTAGGAATGCTGGTGCTCCGAGAAGCCACTATATTGGTGATTCGCTTCTCAAAGTTCTTGGTTGTCTTACTGGGATTAAGATAGATTTGTAGAAGTGTGAGGTATATACTGCCAGATTTTGTAGTTGAAGGTTGATGAGTTGCGGACTCATAAACGCGATCACAGTAGCACAATGCCAGATCAGGTAGATGAAGCTGATACAGGAAAAAGGTAACTTTAGTTGGCTCATGGACTGCAGATTAGAGATATGCATGAGTAAGTTTAGATGGTAAAACACTTGACAATTGATGAACTGATCAATCAACGCAAAGAAGGAAATAATTCCAATGAGTGCAAGGGGTTTGCTATAGCTTTCATGTGTAAGATTATTAGCCTTTTTGCATAAATACATCATTACCTTATGAACATATAGGGATAAGGCAAGCTCGTGTTGGTTCATCTTTCCTAATAAAACTGCACGTTCTTCATACAGTGCATCAGGAGGAAGACGCTTCAATAAAGCCTCAGGGTTATAACCTGAGATGCCTTCTAGAGCAGATAATAACTTCTTCCTTGTCGGGGAATGAGCCTTCTCGTCCCATTTATTTTGGCCACTTAATTCCGCATGCAAGTCGAGAACTTCCGAGAGATAGATTTGCACCTGTCATGAATGATAGAGTGACATTGAGCGATATGATTCAAAATTCATTACGAGAATGCAATTTGTTTGGTCACATCCAGTAAGAATACACGAAGAAAAAATAATATCCACAGACTAAAAGCAAGGGCAAGTTACCATTTCATTTTGCAGGTTTCCTGATATAGCACTTTCATTCATTGCGAGCATCAGTTCTAGATACCTTCCTTGCATGTTTGGAGCATGCTGTTTCAGATAAGAGTTGACCATATCTGCAGGTATGTTCCCAGATAAAAACAGCTCAATTGTTTGTGTTGGACACCTTTCGAGAATGATCATTGAGAACTCTAGAACAAGCATAGGATCTGTTCCACAGAGAGGCTGCATAAGAAACCCCATAAAAAAGATTCTCAGATACTTTTGGCAAAGGAAGAGTACGAACTGCAACCAAGTCGCATTCACAGACATCAAGCCTCAACAGTTCTGCTCAGGCCTAGATTCTGAAAGTTTCTCAATAAATTCAATGACCTTAGGTGAAGGTGGCTAACAAGCAGCAGAGATAATGGAAGCCAACCCTAGCAATATATAACCCACTGTGGCATAAGTATAGTAATAGATTCAGATGATTAACCCACTCGAAGGAACCAAAGTTTTTTTGGTACTTAAGCAAGTGCATATGAATAGAAAATGGTTTTTGTTTTTGTTTTTTTTTTTTTTGTTTTTTTTTTTTGTAAAGGAACTAATACAGACCTGGCATCATTACCTATGGGCCATTGAGTTTCATGGTAGAGGAAAGAAAACCACAGGTTGCACAAAGGCCAACTATCCTTTCTAGATCCTGGAAGATGGTTGACCTAATGCTTTGGTCTTGCTAATTCTCATTCAATTTTCCTAGAAAGATATATGAGCTAAATGAAAAAGAGGTACCAGAATAGAAACTAAAGATACCTTGAGATACTCTAGAATGTCCTCAGGCTTGAACTTATGTGTAACCTCAGATTTGCCTGAGCTTGACTCTTCAACTAATTGATGCAGAAGCTTTAGAGCTTCCCGGTGCATGGCATTGCTTCTATAAAGCTCCAGCAAAGCAGAATAGTGGTGTCTCTTTTGAAGACTCTCCTCACATATTTTTAAATCACAATAATTATGGCCTCTGAGTAATTCTACAGAAGCTGAAGACTGTCCAGTAAGCAGAAGTGCTTGGAGTAGTGCAGTGTCTAGGATAGCTGCCATTTCTCTAGCCCCTGAGTTAATCGCAACATTGCCACGCCCCTGAGAGATCATAAACAGTGTCAGATAATAGAAGAAACCAAGCGGAACAGAAGCATCACATGTAGTTACTTTTCTTTTCAAAAGTGAACTACCTAGAGTTACCATTCTTATCCTTCAAGAATATGCTTTTGTAGGCATTGTAGCTGCAAACTATGTGAATTAACAAGTTATTCGAAAGGATCAGCTTCTACCTTGCCAGACTTTTTGACCCTACTAGAGTCGTAATGTCCATAATTATCACCAACAGCGCCTAAAACAACCTCCTCTGTCCCCTCGGCAGTGGCCTTTTCAATTATGTTGTATCTCCGTTTCTGTAAGTATTTGATGAGAGCCATGAGAGTATTATGGCTCATTTTCTTGGACTCAAGTGCGGAATGCTCATCAAAATCCCCAAAATGTGATGCAGATGAGGGATCCATATCATCTGATGCACCAGAAGAACCTCTTGATAGATGTACAGCATCTGGGTCACTGTCCACTAGCTTGTCTGTTTCAGGAAGCAAAGTTGTTTTGGGAAGAACTATTGACGGATACATAGAAAGTACATAGGTGATATCTACTTGGGCAGCTAAAAAGTGTTCCATAGCCTCCTCATAACTCCCATTATCAAAAAGATGGTGAGCATATCTGTGGAAAGTGAAAAACCCTATCAGCAACTTGTTTAAAGAAAAATCATAATAGGAACCTTCAAAGGAAAAATTACTTTTCACCAAAAAAGGAGAAAATAATAGAGTCTGGCTGCTATTGCATGCCACACAGAAAATCATACATGTACAATGAAAATCCATTTGCTAGACCAAGCCTTGCAATTAGCGAGAAACACATCAATCATAGTAGCGAAACAAGAACTAAGTGATGCAAATTGTTCATCGGTCAATTTTGGTAAATATCTACCTTATGTGAATGGACCCCTCCTTTGCAGCTCGAAGGCTTGCATCTTCAGGAGGAAGTAACTTGCACAATGCCAGAGCTTCTTCAAAATTTCCAGATGCAGTTAATTGCACGATCTGCACCATAATCATAGGAATATTTTAAGAAGTACAATGTCAATGTGTCAAATCAAGTTTGTATGAGCACCAAAAGCAAAAACATAATCGAAATATGTCTAAGATGACCCAGGGCAGTCAACTTGATTTCAAAATTTAAGAATCTTTCTTTCCTCTAGACTGTATTCTTTGATACCCACCTACCAGTCATCACAAGAATTAACCTAGAAACTACCAGTCAAGAAAATTCTAACCCAAAAACCAAAGGGGTACAAGATGTACCTGTGCACCAACAGGAACAGGAAAGAGTCCGTGAACAGAATTATCTAGTGCAACAATTACTGCATTATTGCTCTGAACAAGACGACGGACATTCTGAAGAACAATGGTCTGAATCATCGGGTATGGAACTCGAAGAGACCGTATCTGCATTCATTTTACAAAACCTCGTCAGGAAGGCCATCTCCAGACAAAGATAAAGAGGACAGGAACTTCTCATGCTCTATGCTGCTACCTCAACACGCCTTGGAAGCAGGGCAATCGCATACGGCTTCTGAACCACAACAACAGAGGGAGCTTCCGACCAACAAATCCTTTCAGCTTGATGAAGCTTGCCGTTTTGGTCCACGAAGACTCCAATATTCTCCTGTAAGGAGTTGCAAGTGATAGCTTTTTACAGTCATTCACGGGTGAGAAGTAAATGGCAACAGTCCAGAAGAAAACAATTCGTCCAACAGTTGGAGGGCTGAAAGATGAGTGCTACCTTGCCAAGAAGAAGTTCTCCTGAAGGAAGAGGGACGACCAGAGGTGCAGCCAGTCTACCAGAAGGAAACACCTCGCTCAAGGCACCACTAGTGGCGTTCAGTATCACGTATTCCTTCTTAATCCCAAGACATATGTTTTCGCCACACCAGGACATTGACTTCACCACGTCAGGGACGCCAAATTCTTTCACCTCTACGAATCCTCGTCCTGCTGAAGAACAGCTCCAAAAATTTCAGTTCCAGAAGACGCATCGGAATTTCAGCAGCAACTGTGGAATTCAAAACGAGAAACTCACCATCGTGGCGGATGATGCAGACTCGCTTTTGCCTCGCGAAGCACAGATAACCTCTTCGATCATCCCAGGAGTAGACATTGGCGCCTTTGGCTTTGGTGATCACAGCGAAAGTCTCCAAATTAGGGAGTCGGTGAAAAGCGATCGATTCAGAGAGCGAGAGGAGCAGCTCTCGCGAGGCCAATACCTCCATTGCCAACAGACTCTTCTTGGAATACCCGTTCACTGTCCTCTCCAGGGCGTATCCTTCCTTTCGTAGTTCTTGAGCTTGGCCGAGGTAATCCGAAGACGACGAAGATCGATCGGATTCGGCAGCGTAGACTCGAAGAGCGCCATCGGAGCAGCCGACGAAGAGCTTCGAAGCGTAGGACGCGACGGCATCGATTTTCGTCGGACAGCCTCTGAGGAGCTCGAAGGAATCATAGGCACTGTGCACCATATTTTCCCCCCACGCTTTGGTCTCCGCCTGATCTTCCTTCTCCGATCACAATTTCATTACACGCACCGCACCGAAAGCTAGGCGCTCGTCGGTAATGGGCCAACCCGGCTAGCTCAAATCGGCCCGAGATCCAAATGCCGGACGCAACAGTCCTACGGTTCTCAAACTAATGGGACCCCGCCGACGTGGCCAGAGGTCGGCGAAATGATGACTCTAATTGATTGAACTTTCAAACCGGACCAAGTGAGTCAAACCGGTTTTTATTATATTAGACCCGGTTTAACAAGTAGTATGGTTCGGACAATAGTACAATGATTTATGTCGATTCAGGTGGATTTAGCAACATATTTAAAAATATGCAAAATCATAACACCCAAACGCTTATATTTGTATCCAACAAATATTATCAACATTTAATTTAAACAAATCACAAATTAATTCTTTAATTACAGTCACTAGAACTATCTAATTTATATGTCAATGCAAAATTAATCATTCCAGTCATATCAGTGTACTCAAACCGATTTCATGATCGCATTCGGTTATTCGTGGTTAAATCGACCGGCGTTCCTCCACGTGACAACCACGAACCGGAGAGACGAAAGTGTGACATGTGTCGACCTTCAAATGGCCCCCGGAATCAGAAAAATCCAGGTCCGCCCCTGAAATTCGCCGACTGCGGCGGACAATCTGTCCGTGAACTCGAGTAGTTGAGTAAATAAAGAAAAGGTTGAGAAGTAAAGGGAAGGGAAAAGGTCACCGGAGAGCGAAAGAGACTGCAAGGAAGAGGACGAAAAGGAGTTGAAAGAGAGACGAGATCAATGACTCTGGGTCTGATCAATGCTAACCCAATCGTCCACGCTAAGAAGGAAAGGGTCGCCCGATGCGAAGATCCCCACTGCGACGACGCCGTCGATCCACTCGATATCTATGATATCCTTTCTTTCTTTTCTTTCCCCCGCAAATCGCTTCTCGTTTCCTGATGTGGGTTTCCCTTTGATTGGATTGAGTCGTGCAATTTTTCTGTCTGTTTCTTTCCTTTTTGTCATGAACTGATTCCGATTAGTGGGGAACTGAAATGGCGATCCTTGACTAAAAGTTGACAAATTTCGTGAGGGATATTAGAGATCCGGAGCACCCGTATTCACTGGAGCAGCTCAGTGTATTGTCGGAGGAATCCATTACAGTGGATGATAAGCTTGGTCGCATCCTGTGAGTCTTTCTGCCTGCTGCTAACTTGAATCGAATAAGGAGGAAATGTTATCCAAAATATGAAAGAGTTTCTCCTACTTAGAGCTGAGTTGATTTGTTGTGCGATTTATTCATCTGGGTAGTTTAGATTCAGACTTCTATGCTCTTGCCATGGATGTTCTTAAGTAGTGAGTGGGTGTTGTGTCTTTGGTGTTGTTCTATAGGATTACATTCACCCCAACCATTCAGCATTGCAGCATGGCGACTGTAATTGGTCTATGCCTTAGAGTGAAGCTACAAGAATGTTTCCCTCCTCATTACAAGGTCAGTTCCAGGGATGTGCTGTTAGATACGGATATGCCAATCTCGCTTTGAGCTAGACCGTGATTCGCTCACCAGGTTTCAGAGGGATGCGTGCTAGAACTTGGCTATTTGAATCTACAAGTTCACTTTGAGCTGAACCAATTCTTCTTCTCAAGTCAGATAAAAGCAGCTATGCCTTTGTTGTTACTTTTTCTGCAGGTTGACATAAAAGTTTCCCCTGGATCTCATGCAGATGAAGAAGCAGGTAAAGTTTCCTCTTCTAGGCTTGATTTGGAACCCGGCATTAGCATGACTGCTTTCAATTAATGTTTCTCAATTCGTCCCCCTGCTATCATGTCTCAGTTTAGATTCCCTTCATCAATCAAAAAAACAAAAAAAAACACATAGCTTAGTCTCCTGTAAATCGTGGGGCTTGATATGTACACAGATGGGACGTTATTCTACTCCCCCGTAACTGACATTGTTGCTTCAATAGTTTGATCTTTCCAAGCCCGTATTTTGCAGTGAATAAGCAGTTAAATGACAAGGAAAGAGTTGCTGCTGCCTTAGAGAATCCTAATCTCCGCCAACTCGTCGATGAGTGTCTTTACTCAAATGAGCTGTGAGCCTGTGACCCTACAAATATTGATGGAACTTAAACTGCCTTCCAAAAGTTGTTGTACAGAGTAACTCCTGAGGCCTGAATGCTGATAAGTTGTAGTGTAGAAGATGAATGTTGTTAAAGTTGTGGCATAGTATACCTACCAAGCATGATTACTGCTAAGTTTTAGAACCGTGTTTTAACTACTGAATATGAATGCTGTTAAGTTGTGATGCAGTGCTTTTATCTTGGCTCTTCATGGATTAATGCTTACAGAATTGCCAATTCATTACGTACAAAGAACGTAAGAAGAATAGAGTTTCTTGTACCATAAGCTACTTCCGTCACGTAGACTTATGCTTTGGAATTTCTGTTCATGTTGTCGTAGCATCCGAATCCTACATCTGATTTTCCATGAGTTAGTTCACCCCATTCTAATTTCAATATGCAGTGGGCTGCTTGCAAGTTGCAAGTGCTTGCTAAGCCTTTCTGGCTCGGAGCCAAAACTTCTCTTCCTTTCGGTTAGGCGAGATACCAATTGTATGCCTGAATTATGTCAAAGGGAAATTCTGATTGAGATTTCAAATCTACCATGCTTACAATCGAAAGAGGCGAGTAGGAGAGAAACACATCAAGAAGGGAAAGAGCATAGAGTTGAGGAATATTTAGAGATAAACTGTCTTCTATCCGCATATAATAATAACTGTTAAACAAGAACATCAATTTGGACCGGTTATTCATCAACTCATCACTTCACTAATAATAAATTAGATCAGGAAAGCTCCCTTTCAGTTGCTTTAAAACCCGCCATTTTGGATTTCTCATGGGTAGGTAAGACTTGGTATTTGGTGATAGGTAGAGTTATGGCTTCTAGCTGGCTGCTGGGGCCAAAGGCAATGGCTCCGGAGCGACCTGGTTCACAGCAAGACTGCTGGAAATTGGGATCGGCTTCTCATCCGATCCCCAGAATTTTGCAGTTCTTACATCATCTTGAACCATCATCTGAGAGAACTCGGCGTGATCGTACTGCAGTGTGGCCTTCCCGCCAAACTCTTTAGGAAGGTTGTCAGCGTCGAAGAGGGAGCTCATGAGCTCCACGCTCTCTTTCTTGTTCGGGTACACAAACTTCACCTTCTGTGAAGTTTTTGGATCCAAGAAGTATTTCACAGCCTAGTAGACATCAAACATAGCAAGTAGGAAAAATAAACAAAGATCAAAAACTGTATGGCCCAAACGCACAATTAACAGAGACTAGGAAGGATAACAGACCTTCCAGAATGCTTCGAAAATTCTTGGCGGGCTGTACAGAAATGCAAGGGCGAGCCTCTCCGGGTAGTGATTCTGCAAAATGTTGATGATTTCACGAGCAGTTCTCATGGAGACGTTGGTGTTCAAGGAGAATCCCGTCAAGTCTATCAACCATGACATTTGATCTTGGCCTTCAGGAAGGTTGAGAATGCTGTTCTCGATGAGATACACCAAATGCCGGATATTGTCCTCTGCACAGTTGGTGTTCTGCAATGGAGAAGGAAAGAATATAACTTTAGCAACGATCTTGGTTGGTTTTGTTAGGTGTAATTGGGAGATTACTAATTGTAACGCTCGCATTAACCTGCATCCCTGGCCTCATAATCAGTACTGTCCTCCCAGCACGATCGCGAAAATTGGCTCGAAACACCTTGCCTGTCTCCCCTTCATGTGCTATTTCATGCTGTGCGGCAACAACGTAGATCCAGTGAGCAACCACCCAAATTCCATATAGCTTGTAATCCAACAACAAGAAACAAAAGAAGGTGATGCATTATTGCAATCAAATACCCAGCGGGTTTGTTCAGGCTTATATGTGGCTCTCCACTTGAGAGTTTCTTCTAGCATTTTAGTAGCCTTGTCAACATTCCAGTTCCTAGCTTCCAGGTATCTCCGCAGGCATCCATCGGTACAGTACTTTGCTTTCCTACCTGACAAAGGCCCTAAAGCAGCCCTTAGCTCATTTACCTACGAAGAGCGGAAAAATGGATCATTAAACCAAAACGAACCAACAATCATTTTACCATACTATATCAACTGATAGGATCGTAAAAACTGTTTATTGTCTTTCAGATCGATACGATCACAATCTTACAACAAATTCATGTCAGCCCGATTTAGGCCTTGGTCAAATTGGCAAATCAAATCAAACCCATTGTCAGGTTTTTCCCCCAAACGAACAAACAAGAAAAGGCGTGAGGGAGGGATGAGAGAGGGTATTTACTATTTACCTTAGCATCTCTCTGTGCAAGGTCAATCTCCTGACCATTCTGTTGCTTCCTTCGGAACATGATGGCGGGCGGGCCTCCCACACAAAGTGGATCTTTCTAGAAAGGTCAAAAAACAAGCGCCATTCAAACATTTCAGGGCCATTATTTATTATGACTATGAATCTGCAGCTTTGCATTTCTCTTTTCTTTTTGGGTGAAAAATGTTAATCCCGCAAAAAAATGCAGGAATCGTGTCCGGTTCTGACCACGTGATCCAGCGTCGTAAGGAAATAAACAAACAACTCGGCTCATCACGTGGATTGACGCTTAATTTTTTTTTTTCTTCTTCCTTCTGAAAGCAGGGGAGAAGAACAGGAAAGAGAGAAGAAAAAGTCTACGCAAGTGTGTTTGTGATCTATCCAACTCTCCCTGATTTCGCAAGTGATATGTTCCCACAGTCTGATCGACGATTCCGATTTTCCGAGAAACCAAACGGAAACATCAGGAAAATGATCAGGCCAGCAGCCAGGCAAATTTGGAGAGGAATCCAAACACGCCGGTCAAAAAAAAAAAAAAAAAACGAATTAAGCCAGAGAAAAATGAAATTCGTTACGCGATCACTGAGCGGCTTCAAAACTAATCGAATCCAGATCTAACAACAGGCAGGCCAGGTGGATTGATCATCACTGAGTCAACCACAAAGAATTCACTCGCGGATCGAATTACACCTGATTTCATAATTTTCACAAGCAAACGCGACCATGCAAATCCACGGAAAGAAATCGAGAGGATCGTCGGACGAACCTTTCAACGGTAGAGCAGATGAGCAGCTGTGATCGCTTCCTGGAGCACCGCTCGGGGAGGCGCTGTCTCAGTTTGACCGGCCAGATGGAGAGGCGGAGGTCGTTTTTTTTTTTCCGGTGGATTTTCCTGGGCGGGAAATGTGCGGCGATCGATCGATCAACGGAAGAGGATATGAAAAAAAAAAAAAAAGGCGAGAGAGTGAAAGAAGAGGAAAAATGAAAAATGAGATTGGGGTGGGGAGGTGTGTGTGTGAGAGAGAGAGAGAGAGAGAGGTTATATAAATGGCGGAGTTCGTAAGCTGTTTGGTGATCAAGAAAATGTAAGCGAAGTGGCGGCCTCAGAGACTCTCAGAGAGTGGAATTCATATTTGGAAATATTTTATTTGGTAAATAATAACAGAAGATAAAATTTAATAATTCAATTCCGAACTAATTAAGGGGTTGGGATCTACGGAATCCGGTGTCGTTTCTTTGGTGGATGAAAGTGAGACGGCCGGAAATGGGGAGTTGGTCTTGGTGAGTGAGTGTGTGGCCATTTCTGACCGGGACCGTTTTTTTGCCTTTTGTTGCTGAGGAATGAGGAGGCGGAAGAATGACACAAATATTGTTTTTTTTTTTAATTTACCACGAATATTACAAATTAAAAACTATTGACACAAATATTGTGTTTTTTAGTAAGGATTGGGGCGGGACCACCTGAGACTCAGGCGGGACTGGTATTTTACCCAGTGCTGGGCGCCGGCGCCCCAGTCTCAAGCGGCCCCGCCTGGAACATCTTTTTTAATTAGTCTCGGGCGCTGGCGCCCGAGACTCAGGCGGGAGCGCCCCAAACCCTTTTATTTTAAAATTTCGGACGGTCCCCCTTATCCTCCCACCTTATCCCCTCCCACACCACACAAATCCTTCTTCTTCCTCCCAAACCCGCGAACCTGCCCCCAACCCTGCGAACCAGACCGCCGCTACAGCCCCAGACCTCGGCGCCGCCGCCCCAGTCCTCGCCGCCGCCGCAGTCACGAGCGCCCCCGTCCCAGACCTCGGCGCCGCCGCCTTTGACAGTAGCGCCAGCGCCTTTGACTGACCCGCCACCGCCCGAGATGTCCTCCGACGAAGAACCACTCGCCGCCGGCAGAGGCAGAGGGAGAGGTCGGCGAGGTCGTGGTGGAGTCGGCGGCCGTTTGCGCGGTGAGACTCTCGTCGGCAGTTTGATTTTTTTTAATGTTTTGTGTTTTTTTTAATGTTTTGTTGCTTTGTTTTTGCAGTTCCGAGGCTTATGGATCCTTATTCGATGAGATTACCGCCGGCGACAATTGATCCAAGTCCGGTCGATCCGACACTTCTTTGGGGACACGGCCAACATCGTATCGACTCTGTTTGGACAAACGAGGTAAGTATTTGATAATTATTCATGTAAAGTTAATTAGCTAATTAGATTATTTTAGGTAGTGAACTGAACTGTTAGGTGAAATTAGTATAATTTCAAATTAGTATAATTTTATGTTAGATAAGACAGATTAGAATTTATTAGGTGAAATTAGAATTATTACGAATGAAAATGAATTAATATAAGTTTTGTGCACTATAGGCTGGTGATCGACCGTACCATGTTCGAGGTACGACCATTTTAGTACCTTACCATGAGCTTTATCGGCCATATCTCGAAGCGGCAGGCTTGTTTAGTGTCGTGCCCCTAGTCCCTATGAACCCCGATGCTAGTTTGATTACTGCGCTCGTAGAGCGGTGGCGCCCCGAGACGTCGACCTTCCATCTACCGTGTGGTGAGATGACGATCACGTTAGAGGACGTTGTTACACTGTCCGGTCTGGCGATCGACGGTGATGCCGTCGTAGTTGATATACCGGATGAGGAGTGGTCGGCGATCTGTTTGAGACTGTTGGGACGAGTTCCGGCCGATCTTGTAGGCAGTGTCGCTGTTGTTAGGATTGTTTGGCTGAGGGTTGAATTCAGTCATCTGCCGGAGAATGCATCACAGGAGGTTATAGAGCAGTTTGCACGAGCTTATGCTCTATCTCTGCTTGGAGGTGTACTTTTCTCGGATCGGTCTGGAAGTACGGTGCACCTACAGTACCTACTTCTGATTGAGGATTGGGAGAGAGCTGGACGGTTTGCCTGGGGAGCTGCTGTTTTATCCTACCTGTACCGTGAGATGGGTAGGTCGACTTTGCACATTACGCATACCGGCACTTCTCTTAGCGGTGACCTTGGTGGATGGGTCGCCCTACTGCAGTTTTGGGCGTGGGAGCGATTCCCACATCTGGCACCTCGAGACGAGGAGACGAGGGCACAGGCCACCGAGGATGCATTCCCACGTGGTCTTCGATGGCTTTCGGCCAACAGTCGTCAGTATGGTGACCAGCTATTCCAGTACAAGCTGTGGTTTGACGCGATGGACACCGTGGTGGTTAGTATATAACATTTCATTTTATATAATAGTTTTCATTTGTTTTATTTTTTTAGATTTAGGGATGATAACGATAATTTTTGGATTTAATGTAGTGGCAACCTTACTTTGAGAGAGCACTTCATCTCAGAGGTAGTGTGCTACAGTCGGAGACATTTCGAGCAGTAGTGCCACTTATCTGCTTTTCATCGGTGATGTGGCATCATCCAGACCGCGTGCTCCGGCAGTTTGGCATGAGACAGCATGAGCCTCATCAGCCACATTCTGAGGCTGAGGTTAGGTTTTTTCTTCGCCAGGCTACTCGTGGGCCATCGCGTGGGCAGCAGTTGGTACACGCCTCCAGAGAGTCGATTGCTTTCTGGAACCGTCGACACGAGTTTGTAGCGACGGCTCCATATACTGATGAGGAGTTAGCCTACCACTCGGAGCATATGGAGTGGTATAGAGATGTCACCAGACGATCCGGCACACGGAGAGGAGCTGCAGCAGAGGCGTTGGTTAGTTATTTGATTTATTTGCTTAATTTGTTGTTAATTGTGTGAAATATCTGACATTTTTGTTGGTGTTTTTTAGTACGACACTATCGAGCATGCTGAGGTGAGTTTGCGTGACGGTGTACGGTCTGGAGGGCTGACCCCCGACCAGTGTGAGGACTTGGCCAACTTTATGGCATCCGGGGTTGCTGCTCTAGGGTTTGAGGATCGTAGATACCCTGATCTCACAGTACCTGTACAACGCCATTATGAGGGGCCCGTCATGACTGCCTGGCCAGAGCGTACTGATCCGACACCGGGCTGGGTCGTCCCAGAGCCACAGTTCAGACAGGAGCATAGGCCACGTAGACAGAGACGTGAGCATCGTGATGCACCTAACCCATTTCGGGTTTCCGATCGACAGCGAGCACAGCCCATCCGGCCTACATCGAGGAGCTTCCAGTTTAATCCGCCTCGGACGCAGTTTCAGTCAGATCCTTCCTCGAGCTTTCAGCCGCCGCGACGACAGCAGTTTCAGTCAGATTCGTCATCGAGCTTCTATCAGCCAGAGGATAGCTTCCATACACCGCAGCATGCTACGATGGGAAACATGGCATCAGGTGGTGATACTAGAGCAGCGGCGACTCCCGACCTGTGGCAAGAGGGTGATGAGGTGTTTAGGGAGACGATGTGGATCCATGAGCAGCACCTTCAGTCTCAGCGTAGTGGTGGCGGTCAGCCTGATGAGCATCTTCAGTCTCAGCAGGATGAGATGTTCGGTACACAGGACCAGGATGGTGGAGTTGAGGAAGATGAGCCCCAGGAGTATGATGGTAGACCAGTGCGCATCAGGGTGCCTGCTAGGTGTGGTACTGGCGGCCATCTAGCGGTGGAGCATGGTGGTCGTCGTGGTGGTCGTCGTGGTGATCGTCGTGGTGATCATCAGTGAGACTATTATTATTATGTACTTCCTTCAGACGTTTATTTTTGGATTGTTATTATTATGTACTTCCTTCAGACTATTATTTTTGGATTGTTATTATTATGTACTTCATTCAGACTATTATTTTTGGATTGTTATTATTATGTACTTCATTTAGACTATTATTTTTGGATTGTTATTATTATGTACTATAAACAAACAACAACATCTCAAGCAACAACATCTCAAACAACAACATCTCAAACAAACAACATCTCAAACAAACAACTTTTACATGGTAAATCAAAAGATAACAACAACATACCAAACAACAACATCTCAAACAAACAACAACTTTTACATGGTAAATCAAAAGAAATATAACAACTTCTACCACCTCTCAGCCACGTCTATTACCTCTACTTCCTCTTCTACCACCTCTCGTACTTCGTTGGCCACCACTCCCTCCTCGGTTGCTCCCACTCCTACTAGCTTGGCCGCCGCAAGTTGATGCATTATGTCCCGCTTGGTTACAGTTGCTGCACACTTGGTGTGATGCACCCTCCCTTGGCCAGTCCATCTCGTTGTGGATCCTTGTAACTCGTGGCCTCCCCGGCTTCCTAATCATGTGCACATTAGGATGGAGAATAGGACCATTATGTTTCTTCCAACCCTTAGGTTCACCAAGAGGTGCGAAACTTGTCCCATAACAAGCCATCACTGTTTCCAGCTTGTAGACATTGTTGACAAACCTATACGCATTAGCCCCCATTCGGTTGCAAGCTGCAATGGCATGAGAGCAAGGAATTTTATTTCCTTGAAATTTACCACAAGTGCAAAATCCTGCCCGGTTTTGATCGTCAAAGTGAACTGTGAGTGTGTTTGACCCTGTCATGTTGAAATTGTTGGGAGGAGTCTGAACTACATAGATGCCTTGACCTCGATCAAGAGCTGTCACAGAATGTCCAATTGCCTTTTGTGACCTGTACTTCATCAGCTCTTCGCACTTGTTGGAGTACTGTGAACCGCCACTTCTAATTTCTGCTCCTGTCTCCAACCTATACATATCGAATTTCTCCACCAATCGCCAATAGGTATGCTGCACAAGAGAAGCTATCGGAAGTGCACGAATACCTTTGAAAACACCATTGACGCTTTCTGCCATGTTGGATGTCAGGATAGACCAACGACCCCCACCATTGTAGTTATCATGTGCTAAACTCCAACGAATCTGATGTTGATCCACCCAGTTATCACATGAAATATTTCTATCAGCGGCCACCTTCTTAAATTGCTCAACTTGACGATCAAACTTCTCCAACCGTTTTTCTCCGGCTAACAAAATAAACCACAACACGTGTTAGATAAATTCATGACAAAATTACATGAAAACAAATAACAAAATTAAATGAAGAAAGCTTACCGACTCGAAATAGTTGATTATACATAATTTTGCTTCGAGTCTTCCTTTGCAAATTGCTTGCATAGTGTCGCATGCACCACCTCCACTCCCAACCTCTTCCGATGTTATTCATGGCTTCATAGAGTCCTGCATGTCTATCTGAGATGATGCATACATCATTTCGATCAGTCAAACCCTGAACCTTCCTCATGAACCATGGCCAACTCTCAGTATTCTCGCTCTCCACTATGGCAAATGCAATTGGAAAAATCTTCCTCCGGCCATCAAATGAGCTCGCCATGAGT